CACTACTGTTAATATCTTAACGAGAAGTAAAGAAAGGACTTGGTTGAACATTTTCTGGAACTCGCTTTGTATCTTTGTTTGGAAGAATTTTTATGAAGTTTTGGAATCCAATATAAGTAAGGTTGATTAAATTCATTTTGGTTGTTTGGGATATCAAAAATATTCAAAACTGACATAATTTTGAAGAACTTCCTCATTAGAAAGGGAACTATGAGTATAAGTTAGATTACCACTTGTAGAATTAAAACCAACAAATGAATGTTGTTACTTGCTATGTCAGCAGGGACCAGTACGTACTGATCATGTGATTTATCTAATTCTTTTTTTTCACTTCTGGATTATTTAATACGGAAGGATATGTAGTTTTCATATTGCCTCTCCATCTTTTAATACGCGATTGTAACAAGGATCTGATCCATTTGTATCAAATCTTACCGTACCAAGGGGAATGCTTAAAAGCTATGTCAAGGGATAACGTTTTTTAAAACGTTGGTCAAACTCAAGGTCAAATGATCAAAATTTAATGGTACCGAGGGAAATGTCTTTTTATAAAACAAAATATATGTACATATATATTAAAAAACTTTTAAAGGTTATGGTCAAGGGTAATTTTTCAAACATAGATCAAGCTACAAAATTAAGGTTAAAAATCCAAACTATTAGTATCCAGAAGGTACGTCTTGTCATATGCAATACTTGTCAAATTGTCAAATATAATTAAACGCATAGAAAGGTTTTTAACAATAAATATACGATGAAATATATGGAGAAAACGAAGAGTATGCAATCTTAAAATCCATTCAAATACATGTAATACAAAGCAGGAGTAGAATAAACAGTGGAGGAGTGAACATCTCCTGCCGACCCCACACACTGTGTGCTCCGTGTCATGATCGGGAAATAGCGGGAAAATCTTCTATAATTCAATGGGTAAAAGAGGTCTACCAATTCTACTTACTGGTATGTCAATATTTAGCTTATTGAAAATTTGTATTTGCTGAAACTTTGAACGAGACTGTTGTCATTCTTGTTTCATCGCCTTGTCTGTCAATAAATTATCTCATTTTAAAAATTGTTCATACATATAGACAGAGCATGCTCTTGCATATCGAATCTACTGAAAGACAGAAATTCGGTATGTAGCTGATAAGGGTATATTAAATCTGACGATTGAAAAGTTTAAATCATCACGTTTATCATAAAGCTTGGTCGTTAGCATCTTTTTCCGATATCCAAAAAAAAAAAAAAAACGAAACATATGTGTCATACTCTGTGGCATCTTTTATTTAAAGAGGCAGTCCACCGAAAAACCAGGCAGTATTGTATTAATAGGCGGCACATCAAATGTGATGAATATTTGGTATTTTATTAAAAACAATATCAATGTAGTCCAAAAGGAATAATGTAACTGAAGATTTGTTTGAAAATTGCTTATTTAGTAAAATATCCTTGTGTTTTGTGTTTTTGAATTCCCCTATATAAACCATTGAAAGTAGGTAAGAAACAAAGAGCTGTAATTTCTAATACAATTTTAACAGGACTATAATTCACACTTAAATAAATCTAGAAATAATTCATCTTTTTGTTTAAAAAATAAAATCATTGGGAAAAACACTTTTTATAGAAGTTTTCTGGCAAAATATATAGACGTTTTAAGCGAAGCAAGAGTTATCTCCCGTGGCATCGGTAAATCTGCTAAACACATTTTCATCGGAATTCAAGTGAAATATTTAGAATCCATACACTAAAGACAATTATTAAACAAAAAATAAATAATTTGTTTTCAAAATATAATTCATTTTCACCTCAAAACGTAATAGCGAGCGCAGCGAGCGTCGCGAAGCGACGCTCGTAACTGCGAGCTCTAACGACAACGCCTGGGCGAAGAGAAAATTCGGACTACTGCACATTCATTCTTTAGAATTTTTTGCTGCAGTAATTTTGACCCACAATGCATCACTTAGCAAAGTTGCGTTCTCGCGAGAATGACGGCAAATGTTCAACAAAAGTTTACTCGCCTTGATTAAATGGATACATATTGAAGATAAATTGTAAACGTAACTTTTTTCATCAACTTTCAGCACTGTTCAGTTTTTTCTTGGTATTTGTAACTTACATACGACGTTATCTGACGTCAAATATAAGACGCACCAAATGTCACGTGCGGTTTGACGAGCCCGATCTAAATTAAAACAATAGAAGAGTTTGCGCTCGCTCTAACGGTCGCACCGTCAACATATTATTTAGATTAAAATTGGCTATAATATTCAGGTTAAATCCACGTTTCCATTGATGTATCAGTGACGTCATAATATTGCGTCACAATGAAATAGTTACAAGTTTTCCAGAGAAGTTCGTAAACCAAATTTTGTAAAAGAGGAAAAGGCTTTACAGATGACAAGTAAGAAAAAACTTGGAATCAGGATAAAGTCGAGACTGTACACATAAATATATTTCTTGCATTTAGGCAATTTCAATTTTGCTACTGATAGAATTTACTCTTTAATTCCTGAGACAAATAAGAAAGAAATTTTACTTGAAAATAAGATGAATAATGAAGCTAGAAAGTTGTCTGCTCTGGTTGTTGCATAATGCATGCACAAATACTTTTTTTTTAATACCTAGTTTCTATTAAGAAATCAATTAGATCAGATGTTTTACATGTTATCTTCATGTAAGCAAAAGACATTGGTAATTTAAATAAACATACATTTGAATCCATGGTTACACTCATTTAAAAACAGTAAACTGACTGAAAAGAAATAACAGACAATTGCCTGGTTTTTCGGTGGACAGGTTTTTGGGTAACATGTGTCACTAGAAGCTTAAATATTAATTTTCCGTCCGTCGGTCAAACCGGAAGTTCCAAAGAATTTCTTAATTTTGCAATACTTAACATAGATTTGGAGGATTAACCCATTTTTGGATTTCATTACTCTTTTTTAAATGAAAGTTACTTCCGGTCAAACTTTGCTTTGCAACGAGCTCGGCTCTAGTTCTTATTATTCTTTTTTTTTCCCTTTTCCTAGACGCCAACTTTGAGGCCTCATATTTCACTCGATCATTTCTCAATGGATTTTGCTCAAATTTCCAGAGTTGATAGACGTTACTAAACTCTATCAGAATGCTATCTAAAATTTCAAAAAGTCACTTCCGGTTTTGAGATATTTCCCTTTAAACGAAAATTTATAGGCTTTCGTTTCCAGACAAAGGCTCAGAGACGGCTAAAGCTGGAGCAAAAATTCTACTGATTTTAGATAATAGAAGGATTGAAGTTGTGCATAGTGGTTTTTGTTTTTCGATTTCTGTATTCAAAATGGTGCTATATAGGGGTCAAAAATTAGAACGCCTAAAAGAGCGAAAATTCACACATATTTTGCTTTTTAACTTCTAAACTAAACATATTTTGTTAAAACATATAAAACAAAATTTGTGCAGAATTACAAGATCTTTTAAATGATATATCAAAAAAAGGGCTGACCCCTAAATTAAGGGATCTAGAGCGGCCAAAAGTGTTTTCCAGATATCTCAAAAAGTATTAAGAATTTGTAATACATCCAAGAAGCAATGTTGTGACAAGGAAAAAAGGCATTATTTAGACTTTGTTATGGAAATGCAACATAACAGATCTACGACTTCATGTGACATCACAATCTCAACTTTCCAAATGGTTTGTGCATTTGCTTTCCATATGCAAGAAAAGTGGATCATGTGACCAACTGCATGTCATTGAAAATTGAATTTCAATTTCATTATCATTGTTATACATGTATAAGGAAAGACATCAGCAAATGCAAATATAAAATTTTGAATAAATTTTGCTTCATGATATAAAAACAAAATAAGTCTGCTAATTGGTACCCATGGGAATTCCAACATATTGAGTATTGATTGGAAGACTTCGTCTCCAAGCACCACATAAATATCGGATCTTTTATTATGTGGGAATACTTGTTTTCTGTAAGGCATTTGTAGGAAAACAGGGCACCTATCTGATAAAAACATCGATATATATTTCCTGTATTTCATGTATGTATTGGCTTAGACAGAATTCTATAAAATTGATGATGAAAAGACTAGTGCCTTTACAATGTCTTTCAGTGTAAATATAGTATTTTCATATATCAAGTGGCACACAGCATTGATATATTGTGGTGTCCCCATAAATTTCAAACGTCCAGTTTGACACATTAAAAAAAAATTGGGGGGAGGGGCAGACCAGACCCCTGTTGCTACGTGCCTGATCAAATGTTCATTGAGAGGCTGTTTGCCCCACCCCCCCCCACCCCCAACTTTTTGTGATATAAGGAAAATGTAGTAAAAAATTGGTACTGAAAACAATTGGCATTGAAAAAAGTTGGCTCCTATAGTACAAGTAATGTTGGGAAAATATTGGGGGGCGGGGCAGGCCAGCCCCCTGTTGCTACGTGCCAGATCAAATTGCATATTGGGTGCTAAAAAAGTAGTAGTTGTTGTTTTAACAGTAAGTAGGAGCAAAACGTTTACTGATATGGTATGATCACCAATACTTTTACACAGGATTCCTATATAAATATTTATTTGGGATGAAAATAAAGATTTATAAATTCAAGATATAGGTCACAATTTTGTAGTTCATCTTTCTGATAGCTGTTTTTTAATCAAAATAATGGAATTTGATTTCTGTCAAAGTGATGAATGATAAGAAAATGTTAGCAAAGGCTAGCCATAATGGTCAAAATAATGCAGTCATAGTCATTTCATTGGTACTTTTGGATGATAAAAAAATATTACTTGAATCTCAAGTTCTAATTTCGTTTTTTGTAATTTTCTTAGAGGGCATTAAAAAGCACCATTAACAACTCTTAATGTTGATTGCTATCAAATTGTGTCACATTTGAAGTTCCTATTTGTCTGTTTTCGCTCCAGTGATCCTGCGTTAACAGGGGGCTGCAGATTTCTGAAAAGTCTTTGGAGTTTATTCCTCAACAACTGTCTTAATAAAAAGACTGCCCACAATCAATTTATATCGAGTGTTTATTTTTTTACATATTTTTACAATGATAATTTGACCATTCAAAATTTTTAAACAATGTTACAATAATCTGATTTTAATATCTCAAAGAGTAACATTCTTTTAACTTAATGCTAACAACACTGTAAAAATACCATTACATTTGTAAACATGTTACTCACAACAACACACTCATTTCAACTCATCAAATAACGTGAAAATCTTTCATACATGAACCAGAAGTCCTCATCATAATATCTGCTTCTCTCTCATTCTTGTGTACAAAACCTAAATTACTGGTCCAAATGACAATTCAATTTCATTCAGTCATTTACATACATGTACATCTCTGCTTTCTCCATCTTCAATTTTTTAAATTCTCAATTTTAATAACAATAATGTTTGATGCTTGTATAGTAATAAAAAAGATGTTTCTATGTCCCTGTTTGATGTTAGAATTGGTGATCCTGAAGTTTTTTATGTCTTTGATGTTAGAATCTCTCCAGCTGAGCCTGAAGGCGTTTAAAATGACTAACAACAGCTGCTTGTTGTGGCGTGCTTCTCATGGTCTGAAGTTCTACCAGGTAGTTAGACACAAAATCCAAACACATTGTTGTAAATGATCGCCTAAAAAGAGGATCAGGATGTATACATGTATTTATGCATGTTAGATATTTGAATGGGCTCAGAGTAATTTACAATACATTCACTAAATCAACATACAATGTAGATGCAAATTCCTGCTTTTGCAACTTGGCAAAGTTAAAATGATCACAACTTTGGAACAAATATATCTGAAGCTATACATACTGTATATATTAAGAAAAAAATTCAAGTTTCTTGCAACACTTAACAGATTTATTGCATTTTTTCACTCAAACTTGTTGATTTCAACTACCTTACCTTTCATAAGCTGGAATGATGGCCCGATTTTCGCAAATGTGTGACAATAAATCATGAAGAACTTCTAGTAGTCGTAATGGTTTCTGAACCTGTTGCCAATATGGATCCTGAAAAATATTTGTTACGGTTTTACAATTTGTTTGACTTTAACATTCATATAAAATTTGGATCTTAAGTGATTACAGATCTGTTTCATAGTAAACTACAGTTGTGTTAAACTTCCAAGAAAAACTGGAACCACTTTCATACATCTGTGGTTTGTCAAACATGGATGTTAAAATTAAACATAATGTTGCACTTCAGCAAGCATTCATTGTTCATGATTTTCCTATAGATGAACCCTTTAAGGTCAGTCCGAACACTCACCCTGGATTTGAAGAGTCTGTCATAAATTTCCAGCAGTTTGGAAGGAGGCACACCAATGTCCAACATCAGAAGAAATACCCATCTAGTGTTTAAATCCAGATCACAACTCCTCTGCTCCAAATGCTTTACAAGGAAAGCTGGGGAAATATACATGTAAAAGGTTTTCTTAAGTATTTGTGACCTTTCTCATTTATAAGTTCAGTGATGATGCTGTTATGGTCTCAGTAAATGATAATTGCTAAAAATTTACTTTGAATACTGCTCTATCCTCACAAATATTTCTTTTCACTTACAGGAAATTAGCAAAGAGGATATACCTGCTTTAACCTTCAAAAGTATAACTTACCAATGGGAAAGTATCTATCTGACTTTATATACAGTCTGCCAATCGGTAACAACTTGTTCTGAAGATTTGTTGTTCTTAGGCCGGGATTCATATTAATCGTAGCTTCAATTTCTGTAATATTAAAGATTCAAAAGATCATACCATATTTTAATTAATTTAGAACACTGTTAAATTCTAAATTTATCCTGAAGGATTGAATTGAAAGAAAATGTTAATCATTGAAAAAAGAAAAATGTCCTTACCTTTATCAATAATGTTCTGCCAGAGATTCTCAATGAGGGCCCCATCATACAATCCTGCACAATGGACGATGGCCAGTTTGCATTCTGAGAGGTCAAACCTGTCTGCAAAGTCTTCGTACAGCTGTCAAAATGTAAGAATGTACAACTTTTGAAACCACAGACACACATTTTTTTTCCACATGGGTTAATACTATGTATACAATCACAAATTTTCTGCTTAAATTGATCACAGCATACTTAGTATTTAAAGTACATTGAAGATATACTGTACATGTACAAAGGCAGTCCCAGAAAACTGCATAATTTCTTAACCGCAAAAAAGAAATCATTTTTCCTCAAAAGTATAATCCTCGGGAAAAAAAGTAAGTTTACTTCATGATAAGATTAAAACAGAAAAAATGCAAAATAATCACTGTAAATGTAATTTGTTTTGGAAAATAATTGCAAAAAAACAAACCCTGGTTAGGTCCATGAGTTCTGAATCTAGACTTGTGAGTGCGTACTGGACATCTAGAATATTACTGGGGAGTTTACTTAGAGCTCTCTGGACCTGGAGTTGTAGGCGAGCCACCTGAAATAAAATCCAGTTTTTACCTAAATTCCAATAACTCTTATGAAATTTTGTGAACAGAGAAGACAACAGGTTTTTGAATATGAACTATGTATTGTTCTAAGAGATACCCAAATCAGGGACAAACAAGGTCCTTAACCTGTGTTGCTCATAATGTCTTGCGTGTTTATAACAAAAATTATTACAACAAAGAAGAAGGAAATCATTGAAGTCACTGGTATTAGATCAATTACAATCATTATCATCATTAAGTAGATATCCAGTTTTATCCATTTTTTGTCCTACAATACCCAGTTTGAGTAGCTACAGACCTCCATTTTCTCCTCCAGTTCATGTAGGAACTCTCCCTCCACGGCTGAGCTGGTCCTGGTGGAGGAACTCTTGGCACACATGATGGCCCGCGACAGGTACTCTATCCTCTGTTGTAGGTTCACATCAGTCCTACAAAGACAAACACAACATGTAAAATATCTTCTGTATACAACACAATATAGAAGAATACTCTGTTTTAGGTTTACATCAGTCCTACAAAGGCAAAAACTAATTTCAACTACAAGTTTATAACAGAACATAAATGTAAATGCAGTTACCAACTAAACAAATGTGACCAATTCTACCTAAAGATAATTGATGAGTAAAATAAACATATACTTTCTAATAGTTGATTTTGTACAGTCCTAGCATCACTTTTCCTGGTCAGTACAATTGTATGAATTTACAACGATATCAAGGTCCATTTATCCCCCAATCTCTACATATGCTTAAATAGACCTTCTCACCCTCCCTTTTTGAAATTCTAGCTGTAATAATGTATCATGCACAAGACATATAAAGCCAATTCAATTTCAAAACTTTTTATTTTATTTTCCAAAAATTAGTTAACCATGTAACTTTTACCAGACACAATCACCTACCCTAGTCTTTCTGCCAGCCTTGATAAAATTCTGGCTGCAGCAGAAAAGTTTCTACATTTCTCATAGTACTTCCACAACATATCAAGGGCTCCTATTGCTTCTGATGAACATGTGGCTTTCCTTTTTAAATATGGCTCTATAAATGGTGTTTGCACCTAAAAATATTGATTAAAGTGCAGATTTTAAGTTTAAATTAACATAAACATGCAATCAATAATATTTTTGTGTTTAAATTCAACACTGATCTTTTACCTCTAACAATTTTTCTGTGAGGTTAGCATTAAAAAACCAGTCATACAGAGCAACATGGAACAACTCGTCATCAGATTTAAGCGACATGCGGAAAACTTCTTCCTTCTGTGAAAAAAAAAATTAACATAAATATTTTAGAATTCTGGATAGGGTGATATACTTTTCAAAAATATTACAAGTAAGTATAAATATCTTGTATCCTTTGTCCTTACGTGTTTTTCTGCATCGTGAGTGGTCATCCTGTTGGGATCTGGTTGTGGGGGTGGACCCGGGGACTTAGGAACACTGGGAGCGTGGGGGTGGGAGACGCTGGCAGACAGGAGATAGGCCAGGGTGTCTGTGATACAGTTGTAGCATTCCATCCTACAAAGTCAACATTTTATATAAGAAAAACAGGTCACTGTGAAACAACAGATTATTGCTGTAAATAAGAAACAAGTACTACAGTTGAACTATATCTTGAACACTGATATCTCAAATACCTGGGAAATGTAGAAAAGATTTTTCAATCCTTTATTTTTGTTTTTTGATACCCTAATTATTTTGAATCCTTGGACATTTCTTATTTTAATTTTGGATACCGGGGTTTGACTGAGGTATAATATTTTAGGTTTGATAAACTCCTTACCTTGTCATATAAGCTGTCATTCCCTGGATATCCTCCTGAGGCTCCCCACTCCTGTAGAAATGGAGGGCCAGATTCTGGGGGTCCCTCTTTTTTGCCAGGGTCAGGCACAGGTCAACAATACCTGTGTAGTAGTGGACCAAGGCAAACTGGGTACAGACCACAGGCAGCTGAAGGGGCTGGGACACCTCTTTGTATAGCTGTGAAAGTATGTCATGTGTAATCCTTACACTGTTAAGAATAAGCTTGTAAGAGGCATACATACTGTTCTGTCCATTAATTATAAATGCAAAAAATGCTCAGGAAATTGGAAAGCATATATTTAAATACATACCTTCAATGCCTCATTCAGCTGTGTCATCTTTTCGTTTTGATTTTTATTGATTTTGGCAGCTTGTAAGAGTTCATTAGCCTGAAAAAGATGAATGAACATACATGTTTATCTATTCAATAAAAATGTGAAACAAAAATTTTGACACATACTTTGCTAAGCTACTGGAAAAATTGACTTGCCTTTGAACAGGTGGCATCATCCGAGCTATAGAGAGATGGACACACTTCTCGTAGCCTGCTACTGATAGCATCAATTGTAGCATTGTCATCCAGGTAACGATTAATTAAACAGGTTATTAAAGCACCACACATCTGAATAATCAAAATGAAACTATACAATTTTTTTTTTTCATAAATCTTCCCACAATTGCTTTTTTAAATAGATAATGTAAAATAATTGTAAGACAGTATAAAAAGGGAAAGCAAGATCAATGTATTAAATATCTGAAATATCTAATGATCCTTAATAAAATATATAAAATGAACAATTTTCAATTATTGAAAAGGACTTTTTTTGGAAACAAGGTTTTTTTCTTACCATGCATTACATCATGTTTAGGATCAAACTATAATGAAACTCAATATTGATATATTGTATATCAATACATCCTCTTTTGGTTGTAGTTACAGTGACTGTGTGTTTACGTGTAGATGTAATTTGATGAATGTTATACATGTACCTCTTAGGGATTCACTGTTGCGTGGGTGGATAATTGTTGAAACCGACATGACTAGCAAATTTTGTTGATCCTTAATAAAGATAATGAAATGAACAAATAATTTTAATTAAATGAACTTATTCTAATAATTTTGGACTTCTAGATTTTACTTTTGTTACCTTAGACAGAGTGGATTACAATTTATCATGCAATCATTGATTGTTTGCACAAAATTTCATAATTAAAATTTATCCCAAGCTATCTCTTTGTTTAAATAAGAGACACACTTTATTTGTTTACCTGTCAAAGGTACACGGCGAATCAGATGGGGTACATGTATGTGTTGTAAAGAAAGACAGCCTTCTATATCCTGCATTTAAATAAAATGTGCCTAATATCTCAATTTTGAAATTAAATACAATGTCAGAACATTTAATCATCAATAAATACTTTGAAATTACATATATTTAGCACATATTGGATGAAAAGTTATATTTACACAAGTGGATACTAAACTGAGGCCTGGTGATTACCTTGTAACTTTTTGCGTCCTTGCTCATCAATGTGTCCCATCATGTGTGGAGAAAATGGCACTTGTGACATCATCCTATGAAGGGTAAGAGCTTTTATTACAATACTGTTAACTATTATTTAAATCCTTTATCTGGGAAAAGCCATTATGTTTTAAATTATTTAAAAGATGTTCATTATTTGAGAGTGTAAGTCACTTGCAAACCATATTCAATATTTTAAGCACATAAAGGTTCATGTAAAATTTCTTAAATGTTGCAATAAGACATCATTTTTTCTGCATCTTTCCACAGGATCATATACATGTAGTTTATTTTCAACTAAGAACACACAGAAAGTTGCTTGACTTACCCCTCTGATGGCCCAGTATCAAATCTAGAGTTGAATTCCACAAAGTCTGAAAGCCCCCTGACATTCTCCAAAATTTTGTTCAAGTCATCACCATTTATTCTGCTTGTTAGCTTAAAAATTAAAAGTACATGTTTTTCCTGTAATTTTCAGAGTTAAAACAAGAGAAATCAACATTATGTAATATATTCCTTTTCTAAAGACCGATCTTTCTCAAATAAGCTAAACACTTCTGCAATGAACTTACATAATTTGTGACTCCTTGTGTTGATTGGCAGGGATAATCCATTGTGACATTATTTTCCCAAATTGACCTATAAATGTATATTCAAAATTAAATCTCAATAATCTACATTATAAATCATTGATTTCACAGTCAAACAACCTGGAAGCCTCTTTCATAGACAATACAATTTTTCTCTGCATTTGATTACTTTTTTATGTACAAAGGCATTTGCAGACATACAATGTACCTGAGGATTCTGGCTAGGTACAGACAGATTCCATTGTGTTTTCCTGAGAAGGCTATTTCCTGTGTAATGTTAGGTCCTGGAGTCATGGCTGGGTGAAAGTATGGGTGTCCCATTCCTGGAGCTGGGGTGGATGTCTGATGTAAACCTACGTGTAGAAGAGTGAAATTGAAAATAACAGTGTCAATAAATATGCTAAACATGCCATAGCAATGTCCTCCATCAAGCAATCACTTGCAAACTGTACAACATTTTAATTCCCCCTGATAGGAAACAATATTTTTTCTCTGCACTTACCAACCATTTTCTGACAGCAACAATTTTTTTTGCCTCCACAGTAATCTGCCATTTTAATTGATCACATTTTTTTTTAATATGAACAGTCAAAAATAATTAAGTAGGGGTAAAATGAAACTGATAATATCATGCAACCATGATCTTACTGACTTTGAAAATAAAACCCCAATATTCTATGCCACATGATTTGAGGAGGTACTATTCATACCATGTTTTCATTTTAGTCAAAGGCATCATGCATAGGCTTTTTTATCATACTGAAGTAGTTTTTTACTCTAAATGCAGTACATGTAGTTACCCATAGCTCCCAGGTTGCTTGGCATCATCCTACCATCGGTGCCCATTGGAGTACCAGTAAAATGAAGTTGAGGCTCTCCACCATACATAAAGAAGGCCATGGTAGCCCAGGTGGCAACCTAAACATTTTCCAATACAATGATTTTTACTTGCAATTTTGCCTTTAAAAAATTTTATCACTCCAATATGAAGCATTCTAACAAACAATCTAACTTGCCTGCTGATCTGCTGCGATCCTAGAACAAGCCAGGATAAGACAGGTAGAACACGCCTGCTCAATCTGAAAGAAATGTTTTATAAAAATTTAAATCCTTGACAAAATCTTCTGTTGGTCACTGTAACTGTAAATCCTAATTCCTAAACTTTTAATAGTTAATGTTACCTTGTGTAGTCTAAAGAATGCCTTGACCTCCTCTGCATCTGGTCCCTGAAAATCAATCAACAGCTGTCTCAGCTGATCCACAGGCCTCATCTTAGAGAATATATGACTACCCTGTAACAAGAATTTTGTGGATTATTTATCCTTCTGTATTTGTATTTTGTTAATACATGTATGAACATTTTTGCCTCCGTTTTATTTTTATCCTTATCACTTTCCTTGTAACTGAGGAAATTTTAGATAGAGCATAAATATCCCTGTAAACTAGCAATTATTTCCCTTGAAGCACAGTTTTGAAGAGCTTCATTGTCCTCAAACTGGAGATTTACAATATAATTTATTAATTAATCTCAAATATGAAAAAATTCCTTTTCAACTGGCAACTGCAATAATGACGATTAGACATGCCATTTTTTTTCAAATTTGATGCGTAGGAAAAATTATTTCAACTAATTATAAATACAGTAAAACTCGTTAGTACGAACACTAATATTGTAAATTCATGGATATAGCGAAGTTATATTGGATTTCCAGCTACATAAATTTAACGAATTCTTTATATGGATATAAAGAATTATAGATATAGCAAAGTAATTTCGTCGGTCCCAGTGACTTCGTTATAACCAAGTTTTACTGTATAAAATATATGAAGAAGTTTTGTTATACCTTTAAAAATTTGTTTCTATACAAATCTATATGAAAAAAAGTCTAACATTTCTAATGTTTTGCTGAGCGGGCATAAAGAAAATCAATGTTGGACCGCTGAATGAGATGTTGGACTGCTGAGTGAGATGTTGGACCACTTACGTCACAGAATAGGCAGAGCTTAATCTCATTTGCATTTGTTGGTGTTCAAAAGTGACGGTCCTGTTGTTACATCACGAAAGACAGTACAAAATACATGTTTGTCAAAAATAAAATAAAATGAAAGGTATAACAAAACATTTATTGACGGAGTTCTCAGGCAAAATGCGTTTTGTCAACCCTTGAACCAAACTGTCTGCCTTCGGCCCAACAGCCTCAGGCAGACAGTTTGGTTCTTGGGTCCGACAAAACGCATGTTGCTCTCGAACTCAGTCAATAAAAGTATATTGTTCACTTGTACCGTACATACACACAGATACACTTCAGTGAGCAATTCTAACCTGAGCACTGAGAAGAACAAACTGTCTCGGGGACTCTGAGTGTTGAGTGACCACTGATGGAGGATCCGGTTTGTCTACAGTGACACTGGTCTCCCCCGATGTCACCTCACACATAGCCCAGGTACGACCGTCTATAGGGATGGTACTCTGTAAGGGGGGAACAGACTTAGTTATCCTTAATATTCAATAAAATATTAGTTTCTAATACTGAGCATATTGATTTTATTTACTTTTTGCATATACTGTACATGATCCACATTTTTGTAACTTCAAATTTAACAACTGCAGCTAACTGTAGATTCCTAAATATATGCATGGAATTAATTATCGTGTAATTTCGCAGGAAGCACCACACGCGAAATAAACTTACTCACCTTTATTTTTATGGTGCTGAAATCTATGTTAAAACTCTTGATCAACCGTTCATTCACGAATTATTAATCTCGTGATTTGACGTTGAAGAGCCCATTCACGATAATAAGTACTCGTGAAAAATAAGGAATCTACAGTAACTAAATTTTTAAAAATTGGTCAGTTTATATCTGTCAGAGAATCAGTATATTTTGCAACATACATGAGCCTCCATGAGCTGCCCTTGGAATGGGAACGAGTCATTACTAATGGTCCACAGTAAATCATTGTCTTCTGTCTGGGAGGCCACCAGTAACAAAGTTCCTATTTTTAATATATAAAATACACTGTGCATAAATACAGAGGTTGTAAAATTGGTAAGAAAATTTAAATAAATAATTGAATGAAACTGGAAGCACCATGCTCATTGATAATGGAAAATTCTGAAAATGATATAAAGGGTTACTGTTCCTATTTTGACCAATGAAATATCACTATGTTACCTTTCTTGTGATAAGCCATATGAACATTCTGTGGTTTATGAACAACAGTAGAGGCAGAAAACCCTGGAGGAAGTCGAACATGAACCAGGGTCAGCATGCTGGGCCGTCCTTTGTTGTTACCAAATGGGTTGGTAGTAAAGTACAGCCGAACACCTACAGTGATAAAAAAAAATACCCAGCATCTTCAGAAGCACTGCTTTGTATTTGGGAAGCTTTTTTAGTAAAATCAAGTAAATATACAAAATATGGGTACCAGTTTTTGTGATGGCAACAAGGTGAATATTTGTTGACTCTGACTTTGTCAAGGCACTGATATGGACAATGGGCTTGAAATTGGACCTCTCCACAGTTCTGTAAATACCCAGTACATGTTTTGAAGTACAAGGAACTGAATGTAATAATAAATGCACACAATAAGTATAGATTATTTGCTTTTTCCCTTTAAAAATCTAAAAAATCTATTGGTCATTTTAAAGACAACAAACCACATCACTAACAACAAACATGCATATATTTGTCATATTTAAATGAAAAACAGTAATTGAACTAGTACTACTATGACAATCTTCTCTTTGTTGTTTTTTTTACCTGGCAATGAGGGAGGCACTGTGGACCACATTATTCAGTGGTATGGAGGCCACTCTACTCATACCCTTCCCATCTTGTCCAAGGTCAAATACCTGAAAACAGAAAATTATATGAAATTTACCGTTCCTTCAACAATTTTCAGAATGGCTTATTTGTCATTACAAAATGTATGAAATATAAAGTTTATACCTGAATTGTCCCTTTCTCAGTGCAGGCATAAAGAATATTTCTGGAGTCATCCAAACTCAGCTGTAGCAAAGGATCTGTTGTGATATAAGAGACAAAATTTCAAAAAATTATTTCCAATTTTTTACAACAGTGATGGTATCCAGCATTTGTTCTAGACTATCTACTGTGAAACAAGAGAAAATATTTCAAAAATGATGTTAATTTTAACCAAAAAGATGTTATCCATTACTTGTTGTGGACTTACCATCCTCGCTGAAGGAAAAGTTGAGAAAAGATGGGACAAGGAAAGACAGGGTACTGGTTGAGTGATTTATCTTCCTGCATTTTCTACTGAACCATCCATCATCAGCCTGTTCAATGAAATATAAAAAAGTTAACAATACAACATTCATACATGTAACTGTATATACGAGGGGTGTTAGAAAAGTTCGCGGACAAGTTTTATTGTGAGCGCGCTATTTCCACGAAACCGGTCAAACTTTGCAGATAAAATCTTTACCTTTTTTCCAATTAATATACAAGAATTTGGTGCTCTCCGATGATTATTGAAAAATATACGGCTTTTTTATTTTGATAAATCTTGCTTCACGGAGCATGCTACATTTTGGCACGTTTACATCACAAAGACTCTTCATTAAAATTAAAAATTGCACAATTGTACCGCAAAGAGTTTTCTGATATTTTACCTGCCGCTATAGTATTCATGAAACGTCACTGGGAGAAATTTTGAACTAAATTGGAGGGGTATATGACTGTTTTATAGCCGTTTTTAACTGATCAACGCTTAAAAACACAGCCAAAAATCGGAACGTCATTTAGCGTCATGGAGCACTGCACTATGTAAAAATTATGTATGCAGACTGGAAAATGTCGAAAAAGAGATTAAAATGTTCAAGATGCTGCCGGGAATATCCTACACCTACAAAGGACAAGTTTTCAAATGGTTGTAGCTTCATAAGAATGGAAGGATTAACATTTTGAATGATTACCTCCATCGATACTTCAATACCCCCGTATCGCATGGACGTTGCGTTGCGCCTATATGGTTTTGCATAGTTTCCATACCTGAGCGATTAACTGCATAGACTTTTTTAAAGATCTCAATAATATCCGAATCAGTACAAAAGACATTATATAAAAGAAAAGTAATATGTCTTGATATAGATATTCAATTTTAAAGTAGAAAATAGATAAGAAAAATCTGAAGAAATGAAAGATTTATAGAACACTGCGACAAAACTTTACCGGTTGAAATCAGGTTGTCACGTCGCCTTACGTCAAGTGATTGCTCCATGAATCTCATAACCTTATAGTAAAAATGATGTAAATTTTCAAGATTTTATTATATGGACCTGATTTTTTACATACCAATAAACGAAATGTAGGAATTTATTCAGACATAGGTCATACTTCACAGTAAAAAATAGATTTTCCGTAATTCAAAGTGTCCGCGAACTTTTCTAACGACCCTCGTATATGTGTTCTTTTCACATTTCAAATGACCTTTCCTGTAATGTTGGTGCTTTACAGAATATAAGAGAGCAATTTTTTATGGCCAACGTCAAAGTTGGGTAATTGCTGACCAATCTTCTAATTTGAAAGGTGTTGAGGTGGGGTGGGGATGGTAATTTTTAAAGATATATAATCTTATTAGTCCCCTACCGGTGAAACCGGAGGGGACTATAGGTTTCCTCTGCATCTGTCTGTCCGTCAGTCCGCCCGTCTGTCTGTCCTTCTTGGTTTTCCGCACTTTTTTTCTAAACGCTTACAGATATTGAACTGAATTTTGGTATGTGAATGTATCTTGATGAGTTACAAGTTTGAATGTCGTTTCGCTTCATTGATTTTTGACAAAATTATGGCATTTTAAATTTTTCTTAATCGTTTAAGATCGGGTTCGGCCTGCGCTAAATTCCGATGGTCAACATAAGTATGAAGTGAGAAAAAAACATTGAAAAAATGAGTTGAATTTTCGTCTTAATGTGGATTATTTTATTAGGTTAAAGGCATTCACAACCTCAAAATCAAGCAGTTTTACCTTGGACATGACTTTTGCATATTATAAAATGACATCCTAAAGAAAAAGGGGAACCCGGTAGGAGACATGTATTGCTTATGCAATACTCTCAGAATGCTTGTTAACATTGAAATTCTTATAAGAACTGAAAAGGAATCATTTCTTCACAGATATTGTTTAAATCACAGAAGCATGGCTTTGTAGCTTTTTTTCCTAGCAGTGGTCAATATTTTACAGACACTCTCTAATTCTTTTAGACTATGTCTTTTCGCATACACTGTATGGTATTGTTCTAACCTGATAAGCCAGTTCATACAAACAGCCATCTTTTCCTGCCATAAAGATTCTCCCATTGGGGGCCCCTTTAATGCTAACTATATATGTATTGTCTGTTGGGATGGAAAAGAGGGGCTCAGGAAGGAGATGCATTTCACCGCTGCCACTGTCAGCTGTCACATCTAAAACAGAGAAATTTACAGTTTCTATAGATATAGATACACATGCATGTATTTAATAAATTAGATGTGTTTTTTGTTTCCTTCAGATAAATCCATGTGTACATAGTACATGTACTACATACCATGGTAGGGTTTGGAGAAACTGACTCCTAGTAATACTATGTCCACAGGGGTAGCCAGACAAAGTAAATACTGGATATGTGGCTGGAAAATACCTGTATAAAATAGAGAATAAGGTTAATTTACAACTTCACGCAGAAGTGTACAAAAGTACTTTCTAAAAAAAAATTACTGTCTTCATTATTTTTTTCCTTCTAAATTTGCAAAACCGACAGACTATTAAAAATCTCAATTATGTTCACCTAAAATCATAAGAAATTTTACATTTATCAACTACTTATGAGTAAATCTTATTCAATGACTTTTGAGCTTAAGCTGAAGTTAAGTTGGTATTGACATTGACAACAACCTACCTGGCTTTGGTTTCACTAGAGCAGCACTGAGTATGGTTTCATTCAGGCCATCAAAGTACGCCAAGTCAGTGCTAAAATTAATCAATAAAAGTCAGGCACAAATGTATCTTTTTCTTTCAGAAAAATATATAGATTTGTACATGTAAATCATTAAGTTATAAAGAAGTGGCATTAAATAGAAACACAGATGTGGTATTCTCTTTCTAATTAATTACCCATCTTCATATCTCCACACAAAAATATCACTATCAATGGTCAACCACGCTCTCTCAATGGTGGGAAACAGTCCCATCATGCAATTACACTGCATCCCTATAGCCGTGGTCAAGGTTTAACAGAACATTGCAAAGCAAAACTTTCACAAACAGAATCTGCAATATCTTTAATTCTTTTTTTTTTTTAGGGTAAGTTGTACTTTTACATTTCTTATGAGTTCAAAAAACACATATCAAAGAGTAAGAACAAGAAAGGTAAAACACTATGAAGAAAGGATACGTTCAAACTGCTCTACCAGTTCAGGGGGCAGTGGAACTCTTTTCACATTGCTAATCTCACACAAGTTTTCAATAGAAATTCCAGCTTCTGGTAAGCTAGGATAATCTAACTCATTCAATCCACTTAAGCTTGGTTGATCTGAAACATCAATAATAATACTCTACAGAATATGTCAGAATGTAAATTTCAGGTAAAATGAATATAATATTTAACATATTCACACTCTTTGGGACATTTGTCAAGCATAAAGCCAAAGTAACCTCTGTATTTTACATTTAAATCTTGAATTATATCACTTTTTTCAAATTAATAATCATAGCAACCCTAGCAAAATGTTTTGTTGGGAAATTGCATACAAATTCTATGCCATTAGAAAGAGCTTAATTTAAAAACTTTAAAATTTTTTTTTGATGATCAATTAGCAGGGAATTTTTTAAGTAGTAGAAAATTCTGAGGATTCCAAATGTATTTTTGTTTTCTGTCCTAATAGCATTTGAATCATTATTAGTATGAAATGTGTTTTATTGAGGCTCTAACGGATAATTCAAGCATTATGTCTTGAGAATAATTACTTAAAATTCCAAGGCAATGAGCAGTCTGGTCGAACCCCAAAACGGGGGTTTTCCGTCCCGTCATGCAATGCGCAAGAACGGTAACTCTTGCTGTATGTCAACAGAAGAAAATCAAGAGGTTAAGTTTTCAATATAATGTTGGAATAGCGAAATATTTTCCACCAATTCATGAAGTAATCTATTAATTTTTCTGTGACGTTTCAGTTAAGATTTTATTAAATTGTAGACTTTAAATCACAAGGAAAAATATTCTAAGAATGAGGAAAATATAAATTTTGAATCTAGATTTATATTAAATAAAATGTAATGCGCACGAGAACGGTAACTTTCTGAAAAAATATAGGGTAGGTTGCAATTTTTTTTTTGTTGAAAAAAATTTTTTTGCTTCTTTAATCAAAACAGAAGTAACATTAATGACAAAAGAAATGGTGTTTTCAAGCATTACTGTGACTTAACTTATAATAGAAAGGTTAAGTTTTCAATAATAATGTTGAATGTAAATTTCAGGTAAAATGAATATAATATTTAACATATTCACACTCTTTGGGACATTTTCCACTGTATTTTACAGTCTTGAATTATATCACTTTTTTCAAATTAATAATTATTAGCAAAATGGGAAATTGTAATTTATTAATTTTTCTTTAAAATTTTTTTTTGATGACGTTTCAGTATTTTTGTTTTCTGTCCTAATAGCATTTGAAGATTTTATTAAATTAGGTTAAGTTTTCAATATAAGAAATATTTTCCACCAACTTTAAATCACAAGGAAAAATATTCTAAGAATGAGGAAAATATAAATTTTGAATCTAGATTTATATTAAATAAAATGTATTCATGTTCTTGCCCTAACGATTGTCTTTATTTTTTTTTAAAAATCCAAATATTTTATTTAATTCCTCTAAGGCCTAGAAAAAAAAAAATATGTTTGTTTCCGCTTTCAGGCTGAAAAAATATAGGGTAGGTAGGTAGGCAATTTTTTTTTTGTTGAAAAAAATTTTTTTGCTTCTTTAATCAAAACGTGTATAGAAGTAACATTAATGACAAAAGAAATGGTGTTTTCAAGCATTACTGTGACTTAACTTATAATAGAAAGGTGACCCAAACTTCTTTCTGTCTTGAAAAGCTTGCAAAGTTGGAGGCTATAATTCCCTGGTTGAAATCTTGCACATCATGGGAAAAAAGCATTAAAAAAATATTTAGGGTCGGCACTATAAATCAGGGTCAGTCGGGAAAGCGGAAACAAACATATTTTTTTTCTAGGCCTAAGGTATAAAAGACAATAATTTTAATAAACTGCATTATAATTTTAATTTAAACTGTATTTTTGAAGACTTCCTGAGCATGATAATCGATAATCAAGACCGCCAATTGCTAGACAGAAGGATACGCGGACTGAAACGTACAATCTCAAATAAAATGATTTTAATACAACATTGAGCGTGTATTTTATCATTAAAGTAAAAGATATAAGGTAGAATAATATATTTTTTTTATAGTTTCATTTCAATATCAATTCAGTAATTTTTGTCTGTTTATTGAATATTTTATCTTAAATACCTGGATGTCAGAGAGCTCAAGATTGATAACTTTGCCAGTGAATAAATCCCGATTTGTACAATAGTTAAGAGTTGTATTTTTGTAAAATACAAACTCTTGAAACACCTTTAATTTATTATTTCCAAGTAGTTTTACATTTGCGAAAGGATCGGTTACTTTGCACCCGCATTTTTGTAAACCTCTACTTTTTCCGTGAAATGCGCACATAAAAATGCATCTTGGCATGCTCATATCCCCGTTTGGGATATGGTTTTCCTACTTCGTTTACCCCCGTTTGGGGGTTCGACCACACTGATGAGTCAGTAAAAATAAAATACAGGAAAATATGAAAACAGAAGTTTAAACGAGGAAGGGGACCAAAATTGTTTCCTCCCTTGTGCTGTTTAGTATTTCGTACATGACATTTTTCAATAAATAATTATTACACGTCGGGAGCTAGTTAGAATAATCTAACTGTGTCTCGGTACAGGCCCTCACCACAGTTAGAATACGTCCCATATACTTGCAATGTAGCAAATCGGAGCGGATCCGCTCCGAAACGATTTTGAAGAATATAAAATGATTTGCACTGGGAATAACTACCAAAATAATCAAAACAAACCTTCTTGAGATTGCTTATGCCTTTTATCCCAAAAAATAATCCATATAAATACGAAAATCCAATTAATTTTCTCAACGTTTTTCTCTCGATTCAAATTACCTGCCATGTTTACATTCGGAACTCTCTAGATTGTTCCTAGTAAATGCACTATGCGAGTTATCGCCTGTGTTTCTTTCTGCTACATTACGAATACACGGAACGAATTCTATCCTTAAACCGGGTCCATAGGACAATATCATTTTAACGATAGAACATTCTATCTAGTCGGGAGCAAGCTCCTGTGGAGTGGATAAATGTTAATGTTGACCCCTGGAGACAGGTTAATTTATATCAATTTTCTCAAAGTTTTTATGATCCAAGTACTTACTGTGAACTGGGACCTTAAGTTGATCAGACAATTCTTGGTAGCTTCTGTCATCCTGAAGCTGTTTATCCACCTGTCTGGCTGCATTTTCCAACCAGTCTTGGTATGAGAATTGAGGGGTGCCCATAAAGGAGGACATCCTAAAGGGTAAACCGCCAAATGCAAGTGTCAAACTAAAATAAAACCCAAATTTTACTCATATTATGCTCTCGTATAAATATGTTTAAAATAGTAATTAAAATGACAAATGAAATATAACCTTATGAATATCTGGAGCTAGAAACTGAGAAATTGACAGTGGAGAAAAGGGGTAAATTCTATCGCAATACCGTTTATCTTTAGGAGTAAACATTAACAGAGTATATTTTATCCATAAAAGCCAAAAAACTTGACAAACCTTTGGGTACTTTCGCTTTTTTGGTCTAATTTAAACCTTTAAATAGCATGTGCCGCCAATTTTTTAAACCGGAAACAAATGAAGTGAAGTAAATTTAAACTGAATAACTGAAACTCATTGGACACGAGAAATCCGGATTCCCTGTAAAATAGAACTTGACGTTCATTATATACCGTATATCAAATCTCTAAAAGTTAAGAAAAACTAGAACCTGCTTGCATAAGTTCTTAGTATTCTTTAGTAATTTTTTACTAAAAGATGGGGGGGGGGGTATGCATCCATTCTTCAGGGCCCTGTGTGTACAATGTCCACAGAATGTAGATATTTTTTTCAAATATGACAAGAAGCAATTCTGAACACTGTATGTTATAGATAGAACGTTCTATCGTATGATATTGTCCTACGGACCCGGTTTAACCAATATTAGGTTCATCGTCTCAAGCCACGGTTCGCGGAGTCCGCATGTGTAGCTCTCTCCTCCAGAATGGGAGAGGATCGTACATTATGGCCGTGGTTTGCGATGATGTATTAGGTTATTATTTTTAATTGAACAATTTGCGTTCCGAAAATTTCTGAACAAAGAAAAAATTAAAACAGATTTTTCTAAAAGGAAATTAAAGACGTCGCTACCCGGGAAGGGGAAGGAGAAGTAAAGGAGGTATAAGCAACACCCCCCCCCCACCCCCCGAAAAAAAAAATCGGGGGGGGGCTACCTTAATTTCATCCCCTCACCAATGTGCCTATTTGTAAAATTTTATCAGTTCACTGACTGAGAGTTAAAAAAAAACTTCAAATATCTCTCAAGTTATCGTTTAGAAACATTGAGATTCATTGCTATGAAATAAGAAAATAGTCATAATTTACTTATTTCGCAGTCAAAGAAAGTCGTCTATCATAATATTTTACAATTCGAAAAACACGTGTCTTTTCAATTAAATTTCCTAATTATACATTTTCTTTAATCCCAAAGCAAATGAAGCAAATTGATAGATCATTAATTAAATTGGAGTGTCTGGCTAAAAATCTTGCAGTTTAATAAATCCTTTCAGTACGATTTTAAAACTAATAAAGAAACCGGTGACTTTTAACAAGAAATAAAGTGGACACAGAGTAAAATGTCGATTTCTGTGCCATTTATTGTATCTTGCAGCGACAGAAATCACTTAGTGAGGGAGCTTATCCCCCTTGCAGTTTCAAAAAAGGCTAACAACCTTTCTAATTTGTCTTCATTCAGTCAGGGCTGTTTTTGGCCAGGCTGTTAAATTCTCCCTGGAGTGACAAATTACCTAACAGACTCTCTGTGACTTTCTTTTTTTATCGCATTTCCAAAACATTTAGATAAGCGGTCTAAATGTGTATCCAAACACCGACAAAGGCATTCAGTCGTAGACTAAGAACAATTTTTAAAAAATACGGCAATGTTTGATTTTAAAGATTTCGCGTTAATTTGAGAATGAGCTTATCACCTTATCAATCAAACAGACGAATGACAAGGTTATTAAAATACGAGTTAATTCTCATACATTATGCAAAGATTCAAAAGTTGATATAAAAGTTGGAAACACTTGAAGTTTCCCAATCAGTTCGCTGATTTCTTTGAACATGGATGGTGATATAGGTCCGGAAGTATATTCTGATGGTAGATCAGTGGACAGTGAAATTCTTTTCGAGAAAATAAAGGCCTTACCCAAACGTTCCCAGTATTACGGAATTCACCGTAAACTGTCCTGGCAATGTCAGAAGGAGATTCGCCAGTATGAAAGGGACTTTGATCTCTTCAGCAAAGAATACACACGATCGGAAGCAAAAATAAGGGAAAGGATGGAAAAGTTGAAGAAAAGAAAACGTGAATTGATTGATAGTGGTGCTCACTCATCAATATTAATTAGACATCTTCGAAAGAAGAAGAACAATGTCACAGATAAAGCATGGCGGTTCGAAACCAGTCTAGAGGAAAGCAAAATCATAGAGATTTTAGTCAATGGAGAAGATAATTGTGAAGAAAGAGTGAAACGTAAATTACGTAGAGAACAAACAATTTGTGTAAATTCAACAATGCCCGCTCCTAAGAAAGCCCCAGAGAAAATCCGAAGTCTGTCATCTACCGTAAAGAATAATGCACAACACAGACTTTCTTCATTTTCAGGAAAAGTGGCACCAACTGACCAAAGCTGATCACAAGAACTCTTACATATATTTTAATCCATTGATATCGGTGCTGTTTTATTTATGTTTTATGGTGTAAAATAAAATCTATTGCTCAATACCTTTTTTGTTGCAAATCATGTGAAGTTACAGTGTATTTTAGTCTGATTGAAACCAGTCCCCTCCTCTTGCAATTGGCGACGATTGAAGAAGTTAAGGTCAGACGACACGTACGTTCCTAAAAATATATAATTTTTCCCAAGAATTTGTCATTGAAGTATAGGTACTCTAAAAAGTTTCCTCTCAAAAAATTAAGGTACCTTACCAATAATTTGGACAACAAAACAGAGAGTGAAGTTTAAATTCTTATGTAATCCGTTATTGGTAATCTGAATTACCAATATCTCAATTTTTGATGTACTTATAAAACATATTGAAAACAATGTAGTAATCACAAATGAATGACCATGATGGATTATTTTTATATAATATCAAGAAAAACAAAACATTCATTCTGTAGGGGGGGGGGGGGCAAAAAATAAAATCGTTCGTACGAATTAAAAAATTAGTATATACCTTTTAAAAATTCGTAAGCACTACTTGAAATTCGTATCTACTATTTAGAAGTAAATCGTTTGTACCATTTAAAATAGCGTTTGAACGATTTAGAAATACGTTTGAACAAATTAATTTAAAAATCATTTGAACAATTTAGAAATTCGTTTGTACTGTTTACAAAATCCGTTGTGCGATTTGAAAATTCGTTTGTGGTCTTCCAACAGTCTGGTACTAGTAGTAGGAATACCCATGGGTAGGCTACCTTTTCCTATTTTTTTTAACTGCCCCCCCCCCCCCCCCCCCCGGGAAAAATCCTGGATCTGCACCTGGTGAAGTAATTAAGTTCCGATAAATTACTTAAAAAATAAATATAAAATCCTAAACGAAAATCAGAGTATAAGCAGATAAGTGTACCGAGTTTGGATTTTGTACGGGATCATCCGACATAGGATTTTTTTTAATTCATTTTTTTTTTAACTCTCTTGGCATTGGAGGCGAGATTGTCATCTCTACTTTCACTTTCAGAAAAAAAAAACGGCGTGAAACACGCTTTGAAACGGCTTTGTTGTCGTTCTCTAATCCTGAAAGGTAGTGAATTATAATTACCATTCCGTTTTAAACATTAAACTTTAGTGGCATATCATGCAGTCGATCGTTCTGTAAAAGCAATTCAATAATGAATGCGATGGAATCAATAGACAGGCGTGCACGTGTGTTGGGGGTTACTGTAGCTTTCAGGCTCTATGGTTTTATATGGTCAGTGACTAATATATAAATCCATAACACTTCAGTTTTGCTGTTATGGTTTTATATATTAGTCTTTGTTTGACCATAACGCTATATCTCATAATGCAAAAAAAATGTTCTATTTTTTGCGCACTGTTGGGGAATTTTTCCCCACTTTTCATAATTTCCAGCTTTGATCAACCTACTACCTTTCACTCCCTAATTTTAGACACATTCTTTAACCAATCTGTATGTTTTATCCACTTCCCAACGCATTATAGTTGTATGGACACCTAAAAAGAAAAACAAATCTGTGAACACGACATATTGTAGATTCCTTATTTTTTGAGAATACTTATTATCACAAGATGGCTCTTCAGCGTGAATGGACGATTGTTAAAGAGAATTAACATGAATTCCGGCACCATAAAAATAAAAGTGAATACTTCTATTTTGTGAGTGAATTTTCTCACAAAATTATGCGATAAGTAATTCCTCGTGTAGAATAAGGAATCTACAGTAAACATTAACATGGTCTCCCAGAAATACCAGAGTTGGGATCAGTTGCCTAGAAGAAGTAAGCATCCCCTGTTGACACACCTTACATGGACCTATAAATTGATCAAGTTGAAAGAACATACCGTAATCAAATATAATGAAATAACAAAAGCCTAACAATTAGTATGAAACAAGTCATGCAAAATACTACCCAATGAAAGATTATTTTTGTTAACAAGGGCATGAGCATAGAATTTATGAAATGCTGACTTAAATGAGGTTGTTGAAATCCATGTAACATCAGTTATCTGTGAGAAAAAAGACCCCCCAATGTATTAATTCTTTTTTTTGAAAAATTTCTTCAAGTTAGAGAATATGATCATTTTGAAATTAAACTCGGAAATATTACGTTTCCAAAAAAAGTTAAATATCACAAGCTATTCAGTTTTTAGGTGTTTTTTAAATTAAAATTTGTTAATAAGAAATTGTTGACTTAAATGCTTAATTCTTTTTAGATGTGTTACAACTGGAGTCATATAGCAGACCTTGAGCTTTACCTTCATGACAGAGATACTGGAATGGTGACTTGTCATTGTACCAGAGCATCCATCAGGTAAGGGTCCTTCATTTACCTCATAGGGCTAAATGTACATAAAACTTAGAGAGAGACTGTGTTTGTAGCTTTTCCCTGGATACTGAATAGGTCCCAGACCTGTGTCAGGAAACTCTAGTGTCCATAGAAGGAATTGGTTGCCACAGTTTAAGACACTGGAAGGCCCCAGACACTCGGAGAGTTCTTATGCTAAGCTTTGGGTTAAAGCTTCCCACATTGTGAAGATGTAGCAAACTATACACTAGGAACTTATATTGCCTCACCAGTGAGTTCACTTTTCTAGTGATGCAGTAGAATCTCACTCTATTTCAGGCAAGTTAAGCAATGACAAGCCTGTATAACCCTACAAATTCAAGCACTTGGAAAGATGGAAGACAAGTGAGCCACGACTCACTTACAAACATATTCGGATGTCATAGTTCACTAGAATGCATCTATGTGTAAACAGAAGTATTTTTAATGCAGGATTGAATACCTTTGCATAGATGTAGTTTCATTACAAGACAATAAATGGACATAACATGAAATGAAACTATAACGCTCTACTTTTATTCTATTTTTCCACTTTTAATGGGTAAAAGTTGATTCAGGCCATTAAAAATTTGCGATTTCTAGGGAACATTTTACCAGGAATTTAGATCACTGTTAAGCATATCTTTGGTAACATTTTACTTATATTTGCAGTGATAGAGCTTTATGCAGATTAGGATACAAAGCTGAATATGAAGATTCTAGTGATGAGGAAAGTGATGGGAATAGCAATGACAACATAACCAGTTCTGAGAAAGAGGATGAGGGAGGTGGAGAGGATGAAGATGACAATCAAGATGACAGAGCTGAAGAGTCTGAGGAAAAGGAATGTTTAGATGAAGAGGCAGCCCTTATGGCAGCTCTTGGTCTACCAACTTCTTTTGGTGCAAAAGAAGTTCCTACAAAGGTATTTTTTTTTATAGATTTTATTTGAAGAAATAAAAAACATACATGTATTGCACTTCAAATTTCAATGAACTGTATACAAAAGCTAGTATGTTGCCTTTTTAGTAAATTTGAAACAAAATTAATTACTTTTATATGATAATCTATAAATAGACACATTGTAATATCTAATCTTCATGTCGTTTTTTTTTTACAAGCCAAAGAAAAAAAAATCACATGGACGGAAAAGAAAAAAGCAGAGCAAAAGAAAGAAGAAATCCTCCGCAACGAATTACACCAATTCCTTTGTTGATATTGGAGATATAACAGGCTACAGAGAACTGGAATTTGAGCCAGCCTGGCACAGCTACTGGGAACAGTATGGAGAATATTTAGTATGGGAGGGATGGGTAAATAAATATCCAGAACAGATTGATTCTGGAATGTACCTAGGAGTCCCCTGCATTGCGGAGGTAGAAGTTGGCGGGGAGGAGAATGAGCAAGGAGAGAATGCAGTGAAAGAAAAGGAAGAGTTAGAAGAGAATGAACCTGTTGTATTAACTTCAAAAGATAATGATAGTGTTGAATATTCTGGTACTGAAGTTAATAATGATGAAACTGAAGAATCGTGTGTAAAGAATGAAGGGGACATTTCAAACCCTGGAAGCCCCTCATATGTTTTGTCCAAAAGTGCTAACAGATATCAGGAGTCGTATAATACTGCCATTGAAAATGTTATGAAAGAGAGAACCGAGACAGAAATAGGGAGCCATAACTTAGATCATTCAACTTCAGTCACAGAAAACATTGCCAATCAACAGACAGAGATGGTGAATTTGATGCATAGCTACTCATCTTGTGGACCTTCTCATCAAAATGAAAGTGAGGCTGTACCTAATGTTGGTGAAGAGAATTCTGGGATAAATTGTTGGAATGATGGGAGTGAGTTATCACAGGATGAAAATTATGAAGTGGAAAATTATGATGTAGCTTGGCAGGAGCTTTGGAATGAACATTACACAGAGTTGTATTGGTTTTACTACAATCAGTTCCTTACAGAATTTAACAAGCTTAGTGTTCATAAGGATCAAGACATTGAATCCCTTGCAGAAGATCAGGTCATAATTCAGACAAGGTCAGGTGATGATTTATGTGAGGATCTGCCAGTGGAGGATGGAGGAGTGCCTGTTGATAATGAGGAAGTGGCTGAGGAAGATGAAGATGAGTCTGGAGAAGGGAAGAAGAGGAAAGCAGGCCACAGGAAGACACAGCAGCCAGTGAAGGATGGAGAAGTGTCTGTTGATAATGTGGAGGTGACTGAAGAAGATGAGGAGGTAGATGGGTCTGGAGAAGGGAAGAAGAGGAAAGCAGGGCACAGTAAGACACAGCAGCCAGTGAAAGATGGAGAAGTGTCTGTTGATAATGTGGAGGTGACTGAAGAAGATGAAGAGGTAGACGGATCTGGAGAAGGGAAGAAGAGGAAAGCAGGCCACAGGAAGACACAGCAGTCTGGAGGGCAGAGTGTGTCAAGTAAGACAAGAATACTTTTCTAAATTGAGCTAATTAAATAAAGAGCATTAAGCTATAGAGAAGCAAATTGGGTTTTACTTAAATAGAATAGATTTATCAATAAGCTGTCCAGGTACATGTAGTTTTGTTGACCATTGTAAAGATACTGTTTGAACTATAGATATTATTTTACTGTAGGTGTAGGCAGTCACTCTGGAGTCTCTAACAGCCAGTCTTCACAAGGAACTGTGTCAGGTGGGACTGGAGATGGAGGAGGGGATCCTCCTGATGATAAGCCCAGAAAAATCCCACAAAGGTAGTTAATGAAGACTTATAATGTAATAGAAAATGAGGCAACTTACATGTATTGTAAAGCTTATCTAATAGAAATCCCAAAAGAGCATTCAAATTACATGAAGTATTGACTTGAATTATTATTAAATAAAAATTGAAAGCATGCATGCAGTGATAAACTTCACAAAATCTAAGGGAGTTAATGAATTCAATGCTGCTGATCATTTCTGGTAATCACAATTCTCGATTGCTTGGTAACTAGTGGAATATAACAACTATTGTAGTATTGTAATCTTTTCATCAACAGTCATGCCCTGGATGATTCCATTGAATTTGAAGAGGATGGCAGAGAGGGATTAAAATTCATGGGATTTGCATTACCAGAAAACAGTAAAGATGAAACTGGAAGGTGAGTCTCCAAGTCTGCAGCCGTCTTCTGACATGGCCAAGTAATTATTGAATTGCTTTCCGGTTTTTACATCTCATAAATAGGCATGGAATAAAAATGTTGTGAAAGAGTTGTAGGACCTTGAAAGATCAACAAGTAGATGCACGGTATCATGGCACCACTTTTTCAATTCATTTTTTTTTCTTAATTTATCAGGTCAGCAAAAACTCCCAAAATGACTGTAGAAAAGATCACATACAAAGATAAAAAGGCTTACAGGAAAAGCAAGAAAATGGACAAAGGAAAGCAGCCAAAACATTTCTGGTACGATGAGAGAGGTGAAAAGTTAACATTCACAAAAAGTAAAACACTGAATAAAGTGAAACTTTTCCTGGACAAAGAAGGGAAATCATTGGCTGAAGATGAGACAGAGGGTGATTTAGGGGTCATGCCTGATGATGTAATGGATAATTATAGCTCCGATTCTTCCTCATCTTCACAGGAAATTCCAATGGAAAATTCCTCAAATACTGAACAGAATGTGGATCAAAACGAGGCACCTCTGGACTTTCCTATAGAAAAGGATGATTTGTCTACAACAGAGGTACCTGATGCATGTGAAAATGTTGATGCATCAAAAGCAAGTGGCAATGGAAGGAAAAAAAAGAGGAAGAAAAAAGGGAAGGTGAAAATGCCTCCAGAGGTGGCCAACAGTGAGGATTTGAGGAAGTACTGGGCTCAGAGATACAGGCTGTTCTCTAGATTTGATGAAGGAATTAAGCTGGATAGAGGTAAGTAAAATATTTTATCCCATGTATAGAAAAGAGTTTCTTTGTCTATTTTAATTTTACCAGCTGCTGTTACATATGTAAGTGTTTCAAGTGTATATTGTATTCTTTATTATTTTCATTGTATCTTTTTAACCTGGAACCTTTCCTTTATAGAGGGTTGGTTCTCCGTGACACCAGAGAAGATAGCAGAACATATAGCAGAGAGATGCCGCTGTGATGTCATAGTAGATGCTTTCTGTGGAGTGGGAGGGAATGCCATACAGTTTGCATTTACTTGTGAAAGAGGTAAACTGACCAGTAAATTTTTAAAATAACTGCACTAAATTCTGCAAAAATTCAATAGTACCTGGATATACACATGTAAAAAGATCCATTTTCATTTGGATAAAAAAGTTGAAGTAATTTTTTTTATTTTAGTAATAGCAATAGACATTGACCCAGACCGAGTGGCCCTTGCCCAGCACAACGCCAGGGTTTATGGTGTGGATGACAGGATAGAGTTCATCATAGGGGACTACTTCCACGTGGCCCCAAACCTCAGAGCTGATGTGGTGTTTTTGAGCCCGCCCTGGGGAGGACCAGAGTATTTAGGGGCAGACGTGTTTGACCTAGAGACCATGATAGAACTGAAATCATATCCTTTTCTGATTTTTTTTTTGGATACAAATAGTTTTGTATGAAGAGAGAGAGAATGGGGGGGGAGAATCCATTTGAAAATGTGAAAAATGTTTTCTTGATTAAAAATGTTTCTTTATTATTTTTTCCCTCACAAATGTTTATACAGTACTGTAAATCACTTTTTATTCGCGAGAACTTTATTTTCGCGTAATTACGCGAGATGGTATGCTCGCGAAAATTTCATTCTGGCATATTATAGAATTCATTAATATTATATAGAGCAATGACCACAATTCGTGAAAATTTTGTGTCGCTAATAAAGAGTCAATGACTATCTCGGGATGATAAGGTGTCACAAAAAAAGTTTATACGGTATTTATGAAGTAAATAAATTAACATTTCCTTAATAATTTACCTCAGCAATATTTTCAGTGGCAAGAAAAATTACAGACAACATTGCATTTTTTGTACCAAGAAATGCAAATGTTGAACAGGTAAGGTTGAATGATATTCCATGATTCTTGCTGCCCAAATTTTTGATGTTTTATTTTGTTGAGCATGAAGTGTAAAGAAATTTTATGCAATTTACAGTTGACCTCAATGGCTGGTCCAGGAGGAAAGGTGGAAATAGAACAGAACATGCTGAACAACAAACTGAAAACCATCACAGCCTACTATGGAGAACTTGTGTTGGAGGGGGAGGGGTGTGATGAAGAAGGCCAAGACAACATAGTGGAGAATGAAGAAACCGGACTATCAGAGCCAACACAGGAATTGACGAACACAGCGGTCTTATCTGTTACATCTATGGACACCGATGGATCTGTGTACAGTGAACATACAACAGATACTCAGAGTGCTGCTGACAATAGTTTATCTAACAAGGGAAAAGAAGTTTCAGAACCAAGTTAATTAGCACTGGAAAGTACCAGTGGTGTGTGTAATTGTACAATGTTAACATTTCAGGTGCCTGTATATTAATACATGAAATATTATTAAATAATTTAACTGAGCATATGAATTCTTTTCATTATCTATCAGCAGAACTCTAGCTCTCTGAAAAAGTATTGTCAGACCAGAGAGCTACAGGGCCACTTATAGAAGAAAACTATATAAAATGCACAAAAAGATGTGCTCTGTTTGGGATTAATATCTCTTAATACCTCAATTGCACAAAATTTTAAATTGATGTAGTTGACAACTACAAGTATTGCCACCCAAAATGGGGGGGGGGGGGAGGGCTATTAATAACTTTAATAGGAAATTTTGGGTTGGAAATGGTATGGTAAAAATGTATTGGGAACACCTGGTATGTTTCACATTTTGTAAAGCATAAACTTTCCCAACCCAGGTAACATAGCCTGCATAAAATTGACAAAAAATCTCAGGTCTTGCATATATTTGTTTAATTGATTTAATATTGTCTAAAATGTTATACATATATAGTCCAATCCACACTTTGCAATAGTTATGTCCCTTTGAGGGGTCAACCATAAGGTCTAATGGGAAAGAAATGACATTTCTCCTCTTTAAGCTACTAAACATTTGACACTGCTCTGATAAATCCACTGTGTTTAATTTTTTCTTTCCGTATATGGGTAGCCCCATCTTGGGGTGATCATTATACAAAATGCACATTATTTTTAGAGTTAGATGACAAAATTACAAACCAGAAAACTATAAAGGCTACTGTGAGGATTCTTCTATTGGTTTTCCCCAAAGAAGACGACCAAGGGGCATATTTTTTGAAAAGTGTGGATTCAACTATACTGTTACAAATTCATGGTCTGTAATAGAAATACAAAACTTAATATATCAATTATACATTACTGGTAAGAGAATATAGGTAAACATGTAGAAATAGAAGTACATTTTACAACTTTAATTTTTAATGTACACATCTATAGATTAGACACTAATTACATATACCTTTTAACTTGCCTTCTTTGACTACTTTGAGGAATGTTGAAAGAATTCATATTTGTGGGTATTCATATACTGATATACAGAAAATTTAATGAATAAGATATACATGTACACACATTGATAAAGTTCTTGTTTGTGAGGATGTATGGGTAACAGTGACCCAAGTAACCAATTTACATTGATCCCCCTCAAACGATGATTGCACAGTATAAAAATAAATCATTTCTTGGTGCATATACACTAAACCCTACATTGTTTTTATTAAGTTAGATTGAAGTTGATTCAAGTTGGATCAGTATACTGCATACAGAATGTCTTATATCCAAGTGCACAAAATTGTACAATCCATACACTATTACAGAACTCAGAACATTGTTTGGATTGGATATTTCTAAGAAACATTTATTTAAGATAACATACGATTACTTCTTTTGTGTATAGATTACCTGGATACAATATCAATACCGGTAACAAGAAGCCTCTGAGCCACAACGCTCACATGAATCACAATTGCTATGCTGTTTTCAGAACAGTGGCCCCAGCCTTCCCCTTGCAGTTTGCCTGTATACATGTATGTACATTTACATGGTATACCGTAAATCTGGAAATTTTTGCTGTAGATGAATTTTTAGCAAATTTGCGAGTTCATTGCTTTCGCAAAAATATTTTTCTTAAAAATAAATTAACAATAAGAAAATGTAAACAAAGCAGTGGTAATTTGCAAAATTTTGAAACACAAAATTAATGCTGTTTTTGACCCCAGTTCACAAAATAAAATCTGCATACAAAATTTACTTTTAAATGGTATATACCTGGTATTCCAAATTAGTCTTTGATCCTATATTATGACCCCATCCTATACCCCAAGGTTTTAACAAACTGCAATATACACATCTGCATCAGGATGCTTGCCTACTGATATCAAAATAATAATCCTGCTGTTCCTTTCAAGAAGTTTTTCAAATATTTTTCAAACCTGGTATATTCCTATGTACCCTATTTATTTTTTTGCACAATTTAAATCTACCAGTACCTGCAACAGGGGATGCTTTGTGGAAGTTTGTTTATAAGGCAGGGGACGCTTTATGGAAGTTTGTATATATGTCAACCTTTTCTTTCCTTGCTTTTTTGTAAATTATCTCCCCCTGGTCCTTGGAATGGGACATGGCCCTTCATTTAAGAAACTGAATCCCTACACCTAAAGATATGCGGCGCCAAAATGGTTCAAACTAGTCCAATGGTTTAGCAGAAGATTACAGGATGAAAAATTTCTAAAAAATCCACAGACAATGGACAATTTTGTTTATCAAAAACTCACTCAAGTACTTGGACTTGGGTAAGGAAATTCAAAGAATTGTTTAACAATTTCAATGTAGATACCTAGAAATCCATAAAAAAAAAAAATGCCATCATGAATTGCACAATAAACAAAAACAATTTCAAAATTCATGAAATCATGATAATGTTAACTCACAACATTCTATCATTAAAGAGGAAAATTACAACCATATTTCATATGAAATGAAAAAAACTTTGGTAACTTTGAACAAAACGTCTTTGTTAAATATAAGTATAACTTTGGGAAAAATATCTTTGTTAAATATAATAGATACTTGAGGGAAAATATCTTTGATAAATGTAATGGTTATTTCGGAAAAAGATACATTTGTCAACTTTAAAGTGTGGATATATTTAAACCTAAAGTGTTTAGAAACAAAGAAGATTTGCCATTTTGTGAGACTAGAGCTGCTGTTTTTAATTCTTTGGTTTTTAAGACTAGAACTGTTATCATTGTAATGATCGAAGATCTGATTAACTATTCACTATTTCCTTAAATGTAACTGACAAAATTCAAACAAAATTGAGGAGATATTACAACCAAATTAATGATAAGGAAGCTAATTCAATGTCACTAATAATCAAGTACTTGTCAGTTCTAAGTGAACACTCTAACATAAAAGCACTTCAATCCTATTTCAATTAAGTGGCTTCAAATGCATATCACATGATTTCACAGTTCTCCTTTGCAACATGAAAAAGTTATAGGTATTTTTTATTAAAAAAAAATTGAGGAATATCATGGTTGTGCTCACAATTCTAATTAATACAGGAATTAAAATTCTCAAGAGCTAGGTTCACTTTATACACAAAGTGGCTTTTAAAATAATTTTTTTGTGAACTTATCTTACATAAATATTTCCTTTCACAGCAAGGGAGAGCCATCTGTGAAGCAGCTAAAATACAAATAATTTGTCAATCAAAATCTCCTTTTTGATCATTTTGTGAGTAAAAATAGATAAATTATTTAAAGAATGACAACAATCATGATTATTTTCAAATCATCATGAACATAGTTCAAAAAATAAATCAAGTACCAGACTTGCAAACATTTTTGTGAAATACATGTATGTTGAAAAAAAAATTTGAAATGTTAAATTTGACATGTAATTATAAATTTCACATTGCATGTATATGACTTTATGGCGTTCATTGTGACTAGTTTAATTTCTCCTAGAGTTTAAGGAAGCTAGCTGTGATTGTTTTCCACATGCTTGTCCCTGTCTTTTTCCTTGATGGACTGGTATCTGCTTTGGGCAAATCCTGTTCCTGTCAAAATGATAAATACGAATGTAGACATATTAAATATGACTAAATACTAGTACATGTAATTTTCTTTTATGCACGTAACATCATTTGCTACATGTGCATATATTTAAAATTTTAATATTCAAAATATAGTAGCAAAACAGTGTAAGTAGTATATTGTAAAACCACAAATTTTCTTGAGGATAAAATTTCATTGTTTTTGCAATCTAAGGTTTCATGGGCATTAAATTTCTTTGTTTTGAGAGTAACCTGTTTTAAAAGTCGTATAAAAATTTTGTGTGGAACTAAATTTCTTTGATAATTGTTAGCAACGAAATTAACAAAATTAAATCCCCAGCGATTAGTTCTGCTTTTACAGTAGTCATCCCCTCAGCTTGTAAATTTTTGCCAAAATTACCTTCTTGGTCCATATTCTTTAAATCTGACATTTCATGCTTTAATCTCTGCCTTAATATTTGCTGCATTAATTCTCTTCTGAAATAAAAAAAAAATCTGTGATAGATTACATGTGTATATATTACAAACAACATTATGTTTAAAATCCAGCACCATTAAATGTATTACCTGTGATCTGGATTTACTATTCCAATTTTCTCCAGCTTTATTTCATTCATCCTTATCAATGTCCTTCCTGTGGAAATATTGTCACACTTTTAAATTAGTAACACTCTTAAACAGCTGTTTAGTACTTGTACTAATTGTCAACTAACCATTACTTTAAAACTTCAAAAACTTCAAAAACTTTCAAATAAACCAAAAATATTCAACTTTTCTAAGCATTTATTGAACTTGGTCTCAACACATCTTTTAACGATAAAGAGAATTACAATGAATGCAAATATATATATTTGTAAAAGATGAGTTGCTAAATGACATACCAGTAATTTCCTGCTGCAGAAAGAGTTCTCCATATTTTTCATGGAGGGTACCACACCATTTCTTCATCCACTTGTTTACATCAGCACAGTCCCAGAAGTACAATGGCTTGGGTTTACTTTTGTTGGGTTTTTTGCCATGAGGTTGAACAGTATTGCCTTGATCCCTTGTTCTTGACTGAATGTAATTAAAAATATACCATATAAATTTTAATTTCATTCATTTAGTTTAATAGCATTATTTTTAGAGACAATTTAAATTTTGATATATATAAATAAAAAACTTTGTTGATTAAATATATAAACATAACTTCCCAGATTTCATTTTTTCCTTTATTTGTAATTTACCTTTCCGAGATCCATGACATAGATTTTGCATCAAAATATGAGTAACTGTATATTTCAAGAGTTTGGCATTATATAGTATACCAGAACAGAAAGGTTCACAGTAAACTCATTTAATGATTTTCACTTTCATTTCTGCAGAGATTTGTATAAGCATAAACTAATTTTTAAGTATATAATATTGGCTTAAATATACAAACCCTCTGTTTCCTTCTTATATTATTTCTGGATTGGAGGGAAATAAATGTCTATATGTAATATATTAAGGAAATGTTATCATTTAGATAAGTGATACAACTTACTTTACTTATTTTGCTTCCCAGTAATTTGTGTACTTTTATAGCAAATCATATAGACGATTTTAACTTGTAAAATCAGTGATTAAATGGAAGGGAATAGTAATAAATTCTGTTAAAATCTGACATTTGTTCTGAGTACATCTAACAGTAATGGAATGCATTCTACATATTTTGGCTTTTCAGCTGCATGTAATTGTGCATGTATAATTATGAAACTGAAATTGAATAATGCCTGGTTGTTTTGCTGTCTACCACCAAATCAATTTTTTAAAAGTTATCATATGCAGATTCCAATATTTACAAAATCATTTAAAGTTTTTCTAACAACTAGCTGTCATAACTGCAGATCTGTAGATAACTGATCAGAAAAAAATAGGATGGACAGCCAGAGAGACAGCTGCAGTGTTGCCCATTTGTTCCTATCATATTCTTTTACTACTTTCACAACAAAACATTTCCTCAAACTGTAGTTTATATAGCCCTTCTGGGCCTGAAATTTAGACCATCCAAAATATTGCCCATTTATACTGCCATTTTAGTTGGCAAGATAATTTCAATTTAATGTGCTTCATGCATGACTTGTACATGTAATTTTGTTGTGGAAGTAGTAGTAAATAAATATGTTAGAAACACAGGGTTAGTAATATTTTGCATATAGGCACTTGGGGGCTGGACCCACCCCCTTTCATTTTTTTCTTTTTAAATCAGGGGTCCACACCTTTTTCCTATTTTGGTAGTCTAATCAGCATTACTTGAAATCAAAATGTGGCCTTTTTGTCTCTTTTAGTCATTTTTAAATATCAATTTTGACTGAAACATAAAAAGAGAGAGGGCTTGCAACTCTTTTTTCGTCATCTGCCTCTGTGCCTAATTTTGCATAAACTTTGCGTGATTATTTATCTAAAGCAAAATAAAACAAGGGATATGGATACATCAATAAATTTGTTACATATTCCTCTTTCTTTCCATATTTCTACATGTTCTATTTAATTTTTAAATATTTCAATTAAATCACTCTCATATAAGCTAGATTTTGTTGGTGTGCCTCAACTTGGACTCGGGAAATACAGGGGCTGACAATAGATTTTTAAGGCATTTGTCCAAGGGCAAGTACATGGTCAAAATTGACTTGCCCTACCTGAATTTTTGCTAGCCCTACCATAAGCTAATTCTGTATTTATAGATATTTCAAAAAAAGAGGAAGACAAATGCTGAGTAAATCATGCAAGCCCCTATGTCCAGCTTTAAATTTATGGCCTACAAATAAATTCTTTTTTTGATAAGTCACTTGCCCATGGGCAAGTGGTTGATAAATTTTCACTTGCCCACCCCTAAAATTCACTAGCCCCGGGCGTCAGGCAATGGGATTTGTCATCCCCTGAAATAGTTTCTGTCTTGGGGGAAGAAAAACTTGCTTTTGTCCACATAGCCAGTAAACAGATGTATAACATACCACGAAAAACATAAAAAAAAATGAGAGAGAGAGATAGCACACCTCTTTGAGTACAGCAAGTAAACACTTTTTTCAGTGGGTACCACTGTAGCTCTCTGGCCGTCCTTCCTAATTTTCTCAGACCAGCGAGCTATAAATCTGCAGCTACAACCCTTATCACTGTGTAAATTTATCACAGATCTGTCCTGATCTTTTTACTGGATTTTTTCTTTCTTTTTTTATTTAACAGGTCCAGTACAATCTCTTGATTTAGCTACATAGCTTTAAATAGCTATATAGCTTTATTAAGCTATTCAAAATAGCTTTATTTAGCTATTTATATACAGTTTTTCACAAAAATGTTTTTTGCTGAAAATAAACAAAAAGTCGCATGTATTTGACTCTTCATACATGTACTGTGACTATTAAAACAACAACCAAAATCAAAGATAGTTTTAACTTTGTAGCTTTTGAATACTTTTAAGCAAAAAGATAATTTCTATTGTTAGACTAACTGTCCACTATCTTGGGTGCCTTGAGGCAAGGAAAAGTATAATTGCTTCTCATTGTGCTGAACTATTACCAATCAATTATCTTGTTGAACAAAATTGGTCTCCATTATAATATCATTGCAGAAGTAACTGTATCAATTGCTTTATATAGCCCCAAAACTAGTAGAACTTTGAGTACAAAGTCTCTCAAGGAGACGTAATTTGATGAGTGACTTTTACATGCATTATTTTAAGAAGAGTTCAAAGTTGTATATCATCACTGCACCAAGGTGCGCTTTTTTGTACATACTAAGAAAATTACAGCTTGAAGAAAAAAGTGTAGTAAAATAGCTAAATTAAGCTATACTGAATAGCTTAATACAGCTATATAGCTATTTAAAGCTACAGCGCTATGACAAAAGTATTCGCGATTTTTACGCAATGGCATCTTTCTTGCGCTGCGCCTCGCTCAGGGAATGGGAAATAACTCTAATTAGATGCCGTGTTGACAAACAAAATTTTTACAGAGTTGTCTTCACATCGGAAGTGACGTTATATGTAAGTATTTTTATCGTCTGCTGTCTTGGATTTTATGTAAACACAGTCAGATATTACGATGGGTAGGAAATCTACAGAAATATCAAATGATGTCAAAAAATTAATTGTGGAAATGAAAAAGGAGGGGCAAAAAACATCAGTAATTGTGAATTTATTACAAATACCTGAGTCAACCATCAGATCTATTTGGAAAAAATATTTGTCAACTGGTGAAGTCAAAACATTGAAAAGAAAAGGACGCCCTCGGAAGCTGTCAAAACGAGATCAGAACTGGATTATTAGACATACTAAAACTAACAGAGGACGGGTTTTAAAGGATATTACTAATGAATTTAATGAAAGCAGGGATGCTAATGACTTTGTTAATCCACGGACAGTCCAAAGATTTTTGCGTGATCATGATTAGGCCTATAAGCGAAGAGTTGTTAGAAAAAAAATGGTCGTTTCCGAGATCAACAGAAAAAGGCGTGTTGCATGGTGTTTAGAGAAAAGAAAACTCACAGTGAATAATTATTGGAATACAATTATATTTTCTGATGAAAGTCAGATAGTTTTAGGAGAGAATCATAGAGTGTATGTGTGGAGAACATCTAAAGAATCATACTTGCCGCAGTGCATGTGCCCCCCTCGGCAGAGAAGGATTTCGGTAATGGTGTGGGGATGCATCACTTACCACGGGGTTGGTACACTTTGCATGGTCAATGGAAATATCAATGCAGTAAAATACATATCCATTTTAGAAGATCAACTTTGGCCCGTAATTGCCCGACATTTCCTCAACAAAACCTATCGTTTTCAAGACGACAATGCCCCCGTCCATAGAGCTCGTATTACTGTAGATTACAAACAACAAAATAATATTCCTACAATTGTATGGCCAGCTCAATCACCGGACATTAATATTATAGAGAATTTATGGCTAAAAATCAAGAGAACTCTGCAAAATCGAGCTCCAAACATAAAGACTCCGGAAGAATTGTTCGATGCTATTTTACACATCTGGACTTCCTTCGACGAAAACTATATCAAATCCTTGTATGAATCTATTCCCCGTCGACTATTAGCAGTAATCAAGTCTAAGGGCCACCTCACCAAGTATTAATAAAGGTAAGTCTGTTATTTGTTTCACAATTTATTGTTTATTTTTACGAAGCGCATCGTGTTTACGTCCGCCATTTTGAAAAATCGCGAATACTTTTGTCATAGCGCTGTATATAGCTAAATCAAGAGATTGTACTGGACCTGTTTAACAGGCTATTTAATCTTTTCGTTTATCAACGTACCCCACGCTGGTAAATTTAATAAAATTGAAAACGTCTCAAAGCCTTATTAAATGGGAAAACTAACTGATTTTTTTTAGAACTTTTTAACTGTGTATATTAGACACAACGGGAACGTCAATTTTTCCAGTCCAGCTGTCAGTCTCTACTTTCACTTACCTGCTGACGAGAGTCGCCGGCCTTTTGTTCTGAGTTCATTCCTCCCTTAAATAGTTAAAATCTATTTTCATCATCAAATTTATGGAATAATCTCGCTCATTTCCAGCATTTTTTCTTAATTAAAAGTCGTAATGAAAGTATGAAACAGGGATGTAAAATAAAATGAAAATCAAACCGGATATAGCTTTAGCACTGTTAACGGAAAAACTAAAACGTAAAACATGATTTTCCGAAATGTTCAGATTCTTGGAAAACAATCTTTCGCGTACTTCGTAACTTGTAGAACTTGTAAAACATTAATTGATCTAATTACTTAATCAGGTTTTTTCCTCATTTAAAATTCTTATTATAATAATAAAAAAAAGAATTTATTGAAAAATAAATCTACAATTTTATACAAGTACATGTATATAAATTTCAGTTCTGTTTATTTATACTATAACAGGTCCTTTCCACAGGTGCTTGAGGACATTTACCAGCTTATTTGATTTAGGAATCTAATTTCATCATCAAATTTATGGAATAATCTCGCTCATTTCCAGCATTTTTTCTTAATTAAAAGTCGTAATGAAAGTATGAAACAGGGATGTAAAATAAAATGAAAATCAAACCGGATATAGCTTTAGCACTGTTAACGGAAAAACTAAAACGTAAAACATGATTTTCCGAAATGTTCAGATTCTTGGAAAACAATCTTTCGCGTACTTCGTAACTTGTAGAACTTGTAAAACATTAATTGATCTAATTACTTAATCAGGTTTTTTCCTCATTTAAAATTCTTATTATAATAATAAAAAAAAAAGAATTTATTGAAAAATAAATCTAAGAATTTTACACAAGTACATGTATATAAATTTCAGTTCTGTTTATTTATACTATAACAGGTCCTTTCCACAGGTTTTGAAACCCCCCCCCCCCCGAGCAAATTTTCTGAATTGATAGGATAGATTATATCACAAATGTGTCATCCATATATAATTTATGTGGAAAAAGTCTAACAGGCCCGGGGGTCTATATTGGGGGGAGGGGGGTCCTGTCCTCAAGCACCTGTGGTCCTTTCTCATCGGCAATTACAGGCGCGTAGCACCGTTTTTGAAAGTGGGAGGGGGGCAGCCAGAGAAAATTTGTTTTTACTTACCTGAAAAAGTTGACAAGCAAAAAAAAAAAAAGGAAAAAGTTAAAAGTTGCCCAAAGTCGAAAATCCTATTTCGTGGGGGGGGGGGGGGGGGGTTAAGTTAAATCTACTTTAAAATACATTTTCGGTAAATCACTAAAAGTTGGGGGGGGGGGGCAACCAGGCTTTCTATTAACATTTCCTGGGGCCTGCCCCCCCCCCTGTTTCTACGCCCCTGAATTAAGAACAAGTAGGTTTATTTTGATGAAAAGCTAAAAATAAAGTTATTAAAAGCTGCTTGTTAAAACACTAGCTCTCTCTCTCTCTCTCAGATCGGAGGGATATGTATTGCCTTGCTGGCATATACTCCTTTTAAAAGATAACTTTGTGGCATATCAGGTATTTATTGATTTATCCCACCACTTCATTGAATTTTTTTAAATGCTGAATTCAATCGGCTCAAATAATAATTCTACTGGCATTTAAATTTATTGTTAATGGTAAAGACCACAAACAAATAACTTGTGAAATATACATAATCATGGAGGTTTCCCGGTTGGAAAACAGTTCTCTTCGAGAGGAATATGTCTTAAAATTGTGGGACAGCTATATCCTAGATAACTTAGTAGAAGCGGCTCCGTGTCAAATTGGAATTTACGATCTGAGGACTAAACGTCGTATCACCAGCAGTGAGGGATTCTGGGTATCCCCGAAGGAACTCGAGGTTGCTATCGAAGCTGTGACTTATCCAGATTTAGTACAGAGGAACGGACTCGTTATCAACGGAAAGACATACGACGTACGGCTAGCCGACGGGAAAAATGGGATTTTTGCTCGGAAAGAATTTGACGGCTGTACGGTGTGTAAAACTTTCACCTTGCTGATAATTGCTATAACGGACGAACGATACGAGGCAAAAGTTTGCAATGAACAGGTCATGAAGCTAGGGGATTTTCTAAGGAGAGGCGGATTATAAGGTGAAAACTTTCAAAATGTAAACTACCGACGAAATACTCAACGATTAATGTGATCATCATTTAACTTTGTTTCACCTTCCTCCATAATGGTTTACACTTAGCTCTTTCTCGAAGGATTCAATTCTATTGTACACATGTGCAAGATGCTATTACAGTATTAAACATTTTAGGTGCTTTCTTGTTGCAAACACTGCAATTTATTTGTTAAAAATAGATACCAAAATATTTGTCTGAAATAGCTGGGTTTTTTTTACTGTACCGGTCCTTTTTAAGATTATTTATACATGTTTTGCTTGATTTTTCAATGTTGTTTTGGTAAATTACTGTGATCATTAAAGATTCAATTATAATTTTGAATTTTGTTGATATTTTTGGTCTAACGTACATATCTAGTAAAGAGAACGTTAAAACCCCTTCGAGCTCAAGACAACAGCCTGGAAGTGATCCTTAAAGTGATACGTTTTGCTTTCTCATTATCGGATACAAATTCTTCTATTTACTTAATATTTAGAAATCAATGATTCTTATTTTTGAATTGTAATTTATTATACATAACACAATCTCATGTATAACTGAATGATTACCGACTCTCTGGCTGAAATCAAGCATTAATTAAAAACAAGAGGCCAACAGGCCTTACAGGTCACCTGAGTATCATGTAACAACTTTCCAGCAATTGAATTTGGTGCGTGTTTTCATCCAAAAGTCATTCACAATTTTGAAAGAGGCACCATTGCCTATCATAATTATACACTTAGCATGCTTACATGTACTTTGGTTACTTAATACCCAGAGGTAGATCAGAGTAACAAAGAGAAAATGCATTTCCACTTTATAACCACCAGTTGTGCACTCCACCTCACAGGAACCACTGACCCTGCGGCCACATATTTTGGAAATTTTATCATAAATTTTATACCATCAAAAATGGTTGATTAATACCAAAGAGCAGATTTCAAAGCATTAATTTATTTTCAGACAAAGTACCCCCCCCCCCTCCGTTACCCCTGACCCAGGGGCCCTGAAATTAACCATTTTGAAAGAGGCACCTTTCTTCATCATAAATATGTAATTAGATCATTGGCATGTTAACCAGGAGCAAAGGAAAAGATTTTCAAAGAATTCATGCATTTCACTATATAATCATTAGAGCCCCACCCTAACGCCAGAACCCCTGACCCAGAGGACCTGACATTCACAAATTGGGAAGAGGCAGCCTTATTCAACATAACTATGTACTTGGTTAGTTTATATAATGCCCAGGAGCAGAGAAGAAGGTTTTTAACAGAATTAATGCATTTTCATTATATAATCAATAGAGCCCCGCCCTAACACCAGAACCCTGACTCAGGGGACATGACATTCACAATTTTGGAAGAGACATTCTTGCTTATCATAACTTTGTACTTGATTAGTTTATATAATACCCAGGAGCAGAGAAGAAGATTTTCAAAGAATTTATGCAGTTTCACTAAATAATCAATAGAGCCCCACCTACCACAAGAACCCCTGACCGTGGGGCCATGAAATTCAAAATTTTGAAAGAGGCAGCCTCATTTAACATAAATATGTACTTGGTTAGTTTATTTAATGCCAAGGAGCAGAGAAGATTTTCAAAGAATTTATGCATTCTCACTATATAATCTATTTAGCCCCGCCCTAGCACTAGAACCCCTGACCCAGGGGCCATGGATTTCACAATTTTGGTAGAGGACTCAATGCTGATTACAATCATGCAAACAGTTTGACTGCTTGATGTCCAGGAATAAAAAAAAATTTAAAGATTGCATTAATTTTAGTGGTTTTGGCCCCGGGGGGCAGGGACCATTAAATTCATAATTCTTGTTCCCCTTCATCCATAGATGCGTTGTGCCAAATTTGGTTGAAACTGGTTGAGCGGTTGTAGAGAAGAAGCTTAAAATGTTCAAATGTTAACGCACAACGCACGGCTACGGACGAAAACGGATAGCAATAGGTCACCTGAATTTACTCAAGTGAACTAACTACACTCATAAAATTTGTTTATACTTACCTGACCGCCAAAACTTTAAGATGAGTACATTTTTACCATCAAATTGATACGACTGAACAGGTTTCATTTCTATCGTCCAAGACTTCTCTGTATGAAATATTCTAGAATGGGACGTAAAACAACAAACATCCAATCAATCAATCGTCCAAACAAACCCTGCTAGCTTCGTGTTTTGACATCCTGGTCTGACTTTTACTCTACCTTGGAACTCCTCTTACTTTATCCATCTTTTTGAAATATAATTGATGGTGTACTGTGGATGTACAATAACGCATTTTCATTCAAAGGGCAAAAACATGAACAAGAGGCCCATGGGCCACATCGCTCACCTGAAAAGCTTTGGCCATTCTGTTTTTTACCAGATTTCCCCCTTGTAATACATATTGTGACCCCGCCCTACCCCTGGGGTCATGATTTGAATAATTTACAATCTACACTACCTCAAGATGCTTCCACATAAGTTTCAGCTCTTCTGGCCCAGTGGTTCTTGAAAAGAAGATTTTTAAAGATTTTTCCTATATATTTCTATGTAAAAATTTGATTCCCCATTGTGGCCCCACCCTACCCCCGGGGGTCATGATTTGAAGAATTTAGAATCTACACTACCCCAGAATGGGTCATGATTTGAGAAGAAGAACTATATATTTAAAACATTGATTCCCCATTGTGGCCCCTCCCTAGAATGAACAATTTAGAATTTACACTACCCCAGGATGCTTCCACATAAATGTCAGCTTTTCTGGTCCAGTGGTTCTTGAGAAGAAGATTTTCAAAGATTTTTCCTTTATATTTCTATGTAAAACTTGGATTCCATATTGTGGCCCCACCCTACCCCCAGGGGTCATAATTTGAATAATTTAGAATTAACACTACCCCAGGATGCTTCCACATAAGTTTCAGGTTTTCTGGCCCAATGGTTCTTGAGAAGATTTTCAAAGATTTTTCCTTTATATTTCTATGTAAAACTTTGATTCCCCATTGTGGCCCCACCCTACCCCCGGGGGTCATGATTTGAACAATTTAGAATTTACACTACCCCAGATGCTTCCACATGAGTTTCAGCTTTTCTGGCCCAGTGGTTTTTGAGAAGATTTTTTAATGACTCCACCCTATTTTTGTCTTTTCTTGATTATCTCCCCTTGTGAGGGGACTTGGCCCTTCATTTTAAAATTTAAATTCCCCTTCACCCAAGGATGCTTTTTACCAAGTTTGGTCAAAATTGGCCCAGTTGTTCTTGAGAAGAAGTCGAAAATGTGAAAAGTTAACAGACGGACGGACGGACGGACAGGCGGACGGACGGACGACGGACAAAATGTGATCAGAAAAGCTCACTTGAGCCTTCGGCTCAGGTGAGCTAAAAAGGGGTTGAAAAACGACATTTTGATAAAAAGAATTGGGTTTTTTATTTGAAGTCTTAGATTTTACTGGGGAGCCAAATCTCTGCTGAGATATGACTTTTGGTGATCTGTAAATCTGAAAAGTTTCAAAGATTACATTTTTATTCGAGTGTAATTATAAGAATTCCAAGACGATTTTTTTCGATAACCAGCTGATGCCAAGGACTCCCTTTACAGTTTTTGTGGTATTTTAAAAGTAGTTCTGTTAATTTTAAAATGACGAATGAAAATTTTAAACCTTCTTGCACATATAACAACAATATTTCAAAATTAGATCTGACTACTTCAAGAATTTTGGAGTTCTGTAAACCAGATTTCTGTTTTAAAAAAGAGGACAAAACAGATAAAGAATAGACCCTGGAAATAAAAGAATTGAAATCATGTGACCGGTTAACAAGAGAAAGCATCCCTTGTTGACCCGTCACTCCCGCCGTGATTAGAAGAAGGGAGTAATCCTCGGTTAAATTTAGGGAAAAAGGCAATGACCTAACAAATTGTATGAACTGTCAAACAAAATACTTATCATCCATAAGTTGTATTCACAAACAAGGTTATTATAACGACTGATAGAATTTGCAAAAAGCTGAATTTAGATTGTTGTTGAAATCCTTGAGACATCAAATTGTTTTTCAGTAGCTTGTCTCAGTTTAAAAATAGATCGTACCCAAAGCATGATCTTGCCTATCGAATAAGTAAAGAGACATATAAGCACCACATGCAGGTGATGCTGGACTATAAAAAGGTAAGCTAATGATGGAAAAGCAAAGTCAATGTTTGTCTTTTTTTTCAAGAGGTCCAGTAAAACATGTACATACACTCAAATGAAGGACTACTAATGGTTACTTTTGTATTCAAATTGTACTAAGGAGAGAGGAACAAATTTCCTGCAAGGAAGTACAAATATCGTTATCCAGGAATTTTCCTTTACCTGACAATGTTGTGAATAGGCAAAGAGAGAAAAAGGAAGTTTTGAAGAAAAGAAAGTTTACCGCGCTTTGACATCCCCCATATTTGTCAATCTAATTAAGATTAGACCTTTCATCTTGCTCTTCCTAATCTTATTTGTCACTCGTTTCACGAACGACAAATACAGTTCCGAAGAGCATGATAAAAATTCTAATTCTAATTACGGCAGATTGCCGTATTCGCTTGATCTTAGCCACTGTGAAATATTTCATTCACAAAAGGCATAAAAAGTATCAAAGGAAGATTGTACAATTTCAGATATGTTGTAAAAGTTATTTTCATTAGTCGTAAGAGTAAAGGGTAACAAAGAATGCTTTGAAGGATTGAAAATATCCAAAAAAAAAAAACTTTTAGTTTTAGATGAACTTTTGCATTATTTAGTGAACCCTCGTACTTTTCTGTAGACTTCGCGGATAAATTATATAAGAATAAGTGTCAGTGATACCAGTATCTATCTTTATCTTTTCCTTGGAATAATAGAATGAACTTCATCTTCTGTTCATTCAAATTCCAAGCCTTCAAGAGATTTCAATAGCAAGTACTTTTCTATGGTAATTCTTCTAATTTAAAACATATAATAATTTTTTCTTGATTTCTATGTCTCTTCACATCTTTTCGACCAATATTCGATTTTCTTGACCATAGAACTTGCAAAATTGTGACTTTACGACGAGACTGCTTTTGTTATTTCTGTTTAATTAACTTATTTGTCAGTAACTTACCTCGCTATAGAAAATGTTCGTACGTAAAGCACGCTCTTGAGTATCGAATTAATTGAGAGATATAAACCCTATATTGCTACATTAGTAAACAGTGTTGACGATTGAAATGTGAAGTCATCACATTTATCATATAGCTTTTTAGTTAGTCACCTTTAACGTCTTTTTTTCTAGTAAAATATCCAAATATGACATAAATATGTCAGATTCTGTGGTATCTTGTATTTCAAGCTCACTGGGGTAAATCGTATTGACATACTTAAAGTATGAACGGAAGTAACTATTGATAAGACACATGTTTGTCGTCGATATGTCTAAATGTCGTGATTAATGGCTGTTGCAAGTGTTTTCTTCTCAAGTGTATGCTTTCGAATAAATTCTGCTTCAAGTGAAAACGAAATTAGGTCTACTTACAACGGGGTGCAATTAATACCCTTAGGAATCATAGAACAATCTGCACTTGAGTGGAAGTCCCTGCTCTATGTCAACTTCCTCGGCTATGAGAGAGCACGACTGCATGGACCGAGAGACATTGTGGAAGATACTGAGGCACTATGGAGTACCGAGAAGCTCGTCTCCCTTATTCGTAACACCTACCAAGGCACATATTCAGGGTTACCCATGCTGGTCAGATGTCTGAAAGTTTCGGGGTCAAGAGAGGAGTTCAGCAAGGATGCTTGCTGTCACTAATTTTTTTTCTCTTGGTCATTGACTGGATCACGAAGACCACTGCAGCAGGCAGGAACAATGATATACAGTTGACACTCCTGACGCAACTCGAGTGTGGTGGAGAGAAAGGATGGCGCAGGCCGTGACATCAAGTCAAAATGTGGCAAGACAAGAACTGCATTTACCATAAAAAGAACATCCACATTACCACCAAACTGCGGATTCTCAACTCTAATGTAAAGTCCGTCCTATTTCATGTTGCAGAGACGTGGAGACTGTCCAAAGTCAACCTGGAGAAGATGAAGACATTTTACAACACCCTTCTCAGGCGTATCTTCAAACATCCGACATTGGCGTCGGAAGCAAATTTAAAGTGGGGGGGGGGGGGGCTAAATGGAAAAAAAAATTCCAACCTCCGAAAAAACTTGACAAGCAAAAAAGGAAATTCGTTCATTGTCCAAGCACGAAAACCTATTTCGTGGGGGTTAGGATCAATCATTTTCAGTACCGATTTTTTTTCAAATCCACTACCAATTACCCTATCTGCACCTAAACTTCAACGTGCCTCTTAAAAGTGGGGGGTGGGGGGGGTGGGGGGTGGGGTGGTTAAACCTATGCCCCAGTGTTCAATGCTTATATTATGTTTAACTTTGCCCCCCCCCCCCCCAAAAAAAAAAAGAACAATTGGATAAATATATGCTCACCTTCGCAACTGAATGGTTCATGGTAAAAAGAATGCATTTTTTATGATTATGGTTTAAATTTACTACTTATTGCTAAAATATTTTGGTTGCAATACTCTTTCAAGACGTAGGACATAAATAAACAAAGGTAAATGTCAGTTATAACAAAATTGTAATTTGTTGCAAATATTATAAAAATTGTGTAAAACTGGTCCAGTACATTATTCTGTTGTTCCAAACAAATAAATGTCAGAATTGTGTATATCAGGGAATTTTAAAAGTATGCCTGAATAAAGATCCACGAGAATGAGTTATTGCCCTAAGCAACATTTTATAATATTGAATAATTTATTAATAAAGAAAATATACTACATGTAGTATATTTTAAAAATTCTTTACTTAACAATCTTTTTCATTACACCTACTGTATTGAAAAGCATTCTTTGCTTTGGTATGTTTCAAATTAATAGCAGTTTTTTTTAGCATATGTCATCACATTGGTTTTTCTGTATAAACTCGAATATCTACACAGAGCTTTGTCATACTAACACCCATTAATGGAAAGGTTCGCCTTAAACTATGTTGAGACCAGATACAATTCGAAGTATTTCTGTATGAACTAAAAGTTCTACACAGAGCTTTGCCATACTAACACCAATTAATGGAAAGATCGTGCATAATTATGTTGAAGGCTCGTCTATAACTATGTTGATACCAGGTATAATTCCAAGTATTTCTGTATAAACCCGAGATTCTACACAGAGCTTTGCCAAACTGACACCAATAACTAGTTTTGGAGAGGTTCGTCTATAACTATGTTAGGACCAGGTATAATTCCAGGAGGGTCCTTAGCACTTGTAATGGCTGTCGTTGTAATTGTGGCCATGCTCGTGTCTTCAGCCGTGGATTCTTCAATCTGTTGTCAAAGAATTAATAATTTTAAGATAAGATTTACCCATACATTAAATAGTACAAATATTCAGTTGCTTTGCTTTTCATTGACAAAATTAAAAGTATTTGCAGAAAAAAGCTTCATACCAATCTTATAAATTGTAATTAGCCTTGTAAAAAATTAAATTTTAACTTGTCCCATGTCATATACCCTCACCCCTTTCAAAAATTAAAAATATAATGCATATCAAATAATAAGGCTCAGGAAATAGGCATGCTCTTGGGGTACCGTTATACTTGCTGACACCCTCAATGATATACTTTTACTATACATTAACTGTCTTAGATACTGTAGGCTCCGTGGTCGGAACTACCTGTTTGAATCAAGGTAAGAATTTGAATTTTTTTTTTTTTAAAAGTGGTAACAATTGTTCTTTCGCCAAACGAGACCAAGAGTCAGTTGTTGGTCTTTTGGATGAGACTTTAAAAATTGAGGCCCCATGTCACGGTAAGCGTTGGCACGATGAAGAACCCCCACTGCTCAAAGACCCCTTCACGGTATATGGTGTCTCTGAGTGAAAAAATTCTCGAATAGGAAGTAAAACAACAAACAACCAATCAATCTTTTCAAATAGATAAAAAATTTATCTTACCTTGAGATAAAGTTGACAGAGTGTAGATTGGGTGTTTGACTTAGTAACACCCGACTTGGAGAGGAGCTTGCACATGGAGTATTCCTCAGTCTTACAAACAACCATTGAACGACAGGCGTCGACCTCCAAACAACGGGCAGCGCAGGCTATTGCTGCATTTTTGCGAGTTTTAGGCAGGGTTAGTTCTTGTAGGATTGACGAATTTTCATACGATAAGAAGGAAATTTTTTAAAACAAATTTTCTTTAAATATAGATGCAACTTGTGCTGCTGATAAAATTATCAAGAGCAGCAATCCGAAATGCATTCTTCTTCAACCAATTGAATCTGAATGTGAAATTGGGTTCCCTTATCGAAAACGCATGATTGATTCATCACAGAAATATATTACAAAGACGTATTCAGTAAATCATTACTTACTGTCGAGAGTGTTCTTGATTATTTAGATATTGTACTTGGTTAATCCACCGAAAACTAGGGATTTCTTTCTCTTTTTCTGGTTCAAGGATGAAAGAAATCATGTTGATGCAAAGTCAACAAACCTTAAAAGATATTGCGTGAATATTCTCTATAAGTTGATCATCGGTAATTATACTGTTGGCACATTTCTGTACGTGTAAAGCTTTGACTGTTTTTATCAACATCCACCATAAGATGATGTATTAATGTAATGTGTCCAAAATCGCTTCTGGAAACGCCTTGTCATCCCCCGCATTCCCCAATCTTATAAAAATTAGACCTTTCATCTCGCTCTTCGTAATTTCATTTGTCACTCGTTTCACGAGCGACAAATACAGATCTGAAGAGCGAGATGAAAGGTGTAATTTTAATTAGATTGCCGCATTCGCTTGATCTTAACCACTGTGAAATATTTTATTTCAAAAAGACATGAAAATAATCAAAGGAAGATTGTACAATTTCAGATATTATAAGAAGTTATTTTCATCAGTCCTAAGACGCGCGTAAAGGTTAACAAACAATGCGTTGAAGGATTGAAAATAGCAAGAAAAATTGTGAATATGTATCAGTTACTTTTCTTCCTTTTAGATGAATATTTGCATTCATTTATTTATTGAACAACCCTTGTACTTTTCAGTAGACAACGCAGATAAAAATATAACGACAAATGTCTGTGATACCGGTATCTATCTCTAATAGAATGAAGTTCATCTTCTGTTCATACAAATTTCAAGCCTTCAAGAGATTTCATTAGCAAGCACGAGTACTTTTATATGGTATTATACGGTAATATAAAACATATCATAATTTTTCTTAATTTCTATCCCCTTTCAGCTCTTTTTGACCAATATCCTCTAAAAGTTTTGACCAAAGAACCTGCAAAATTGTGACTTTAAAACGAGACTCGCGCAGCTGTTGTTATTTCTGTTTCATCAACTTAATACCGGTATTTGTCAGTAACTTACCTCGCTACAGAAAATGTGCGTAGGTAAAGCATGCTCTTTAGTATCGAATCGACTATGAGGGAGCATTCGACAGCATGGACCGAGAGTACTGAGGCACTATGGAGTACCGAGAAGCTCGTCTTCCTAATCCGTATCACCTATTGAGACATGATGTGCAGAGTTACCCATGTAAGCCAGATGTCTGAGAATTTCGATGTCAAGACAGAAGTTCGACAAGGATGCTTGCTGTCATCACCATTTCTTTTTCTCTTGGTCATTGATTGGATCATGAGGACTACCACGTCAGGTAGGAACCATGGTATACAGAGGACACTCCTGACGCAATTCGACGATATTGATTTTGCCGATGACTTTGTTCTCCTTTCACACAACCACAGTCAGATGCAGGATAAAACAACTCGCCTTGCAACAACATCGACAGGAACGGGACTCAAAATCAACTCGAAGAAAACAAAATTGATGAAGATAAATACCACTATCCAAACACCAGTCAGTTGGTTCCGAGCCCATCGAAGAAGATGAGTCCTTCATCTACCTGGTGAGCGTGGTGAACAGACAGGGTGGCACAGACCGTGACAACAGGTCAAGACCTGGCAAAGAACTGCATTTACCATGAAAAGAACATCTGGGCCTTAAAGAACATACGTATTACCACCAAACTCTAATGTAACGTCCGTCCTATTGTATAGTGCAGAGACATGGAGGTTGATCAAAGCAACCCTGCAGAAGATCCAGACATTTCACAACACCTGTCTGAGGCGCATCTTCAACATCAGGTGGCCTGAAAGGATTCCCAACGAAGAACTCTGGAAGAGAGCAGGACGGGAACCAATGGACGTACAAATAAGACAGAGGATGTGGGGCTGGAGGGACACAATTCAACATCACATGCCAGGCCCTGACTTGGAACTCACAGAGTAAAAGAAAGAAAGATGTCTAAGAAACACCTGGAGGCGTTACTCGGGGTCGGAACTAAAGGCACAGGACCTGACCTGACAGGATGCATCAAGGGCAGCTTAGAATAGAGTTCGTTGGAGGACTGTCGTCGATGGCCTATGTCCCTCACGGAACGACAGACCCAAGTAAGTAAGTATTGGAGGACCTGTCTCCAGAACCACATAGATATTGTCAATCTGAAACTCAAGCATCTTTTCATATCAACTTTAGAATACTTGTGTTTACAACCAAAATGTTGTTTTAACAAAATAGTTTTGCAAATGACTTATGACAAGGTAAGTAAACTTCTGAGTTCCATTTTATTACAAAAAAAGCTGACACTGATGTCAAGAAGCTCGGACTTTTAGTTGTAAGAGAAGTGATTCTTCTAAAGTGATATCTTCTTAAGTCAATATCTTTTTACAATATACTAAAATATTAGGAAATTACTTTCTGAATAACATAAGAACTAATATGTGATCACTTTCACAAATGAATGGATAAAATAAAAAAAATACACCATATTTGTGATTATGGTTTAAATTAACTACCGGTATTCATTGCCAAAAATATGTTGTCACACACTTTTTCAAGATGCAAGACATACTAGTAAATAAACAGAGGTACTAAATGTCAGCATAACAATACTGTACATTTTTTGCAAAGAACGATAAAAAATTGTTTGAAACTGGTTCAGTACATTATTCCGATATTGGAATTTACAAAAAAAAATGCTTCTTTCTAAATAAGTTGGAATTGTGTATATCAGGGAATTTGAAGTATGCCTGAATAAAGATACATGAGTTATTGCCCTCAGCAAAATTTTAAAATATTGAATGATTTATTAAATAAAGAAAATATATATTTAAAAAAAATCTTTGCTAAACAATCTTTTTATTAGACCTACTGTATTGAAAAGCATTCTTCCAAAAGATAATTTTGCTTTGGTATGTTTTCAAATTAATAACAGTTTTTTTTTTAAAAACCTATCACATCAAATTGTATTTGGTTTTTCTGTACAAACTCGAATTTCTACACAGAGCTTTGTCATACTAACACCAATTAATGGAAAGGTTCGCCTTTAACTATGTTGAGACCAGGTACAATTCCAAGTATTTCTGTATGAACTCGAATTTCTACACAGGGTTTTACCACACTAACACCAATTACTAGTTGTGGAGAGGTTCGTCTATAACTATGTTAGGAGCAGGTATAATTCCAGGAGGGTCCTTAGCACTTGTAATAGTTGTCGTTGTAATTGTGGCCATGCTCGTGTCTTCAGTAGTGGCTTCTTCAATCTGTTGTCAAAGAATTAATTAATGATTTTGAAATAAGATTTACCTATACATTAAAATACAGTAAAAAAATAATCAGTTGCCTTGCTAGTTTTCTTTGACAAAAATTGTCAATCTTTTTGTTCGGTATTTACTATAAGTATTTGCAGAAAAAATCCTTATACAAATTTTATAGCTTTTATATAATTTTATGAGCCGTTTAAAATATTAAAATTTAATTTGTCTTATGTTACATACCCTTACCCCCTTCAAATATGAAAAAATAGAATGTATATTAAATTATTAAGCCCCAGGAAAGAGAAAGAGGCTCCTTGCTGACTCCCTCAGTGATATGCCTTTACTATACATTATACATCTTTTTAAATAGGCTCCGTGATCGAAAATAAGTGTGTTCGAATCAAGGAATAACTCATAAAACTGTTGATTAAAAAATTTTGATTAAAAAATTGGTAGAAACACTTCTTTCGCCAAGCAAAGCCAAGAAAAGTTATTGGTCTTAGGGATGAGACCTTCGAGGTCCCGTGTCACGGTAGGCGTTGGCTCGATAAAGACACCCCTCATTGCTCAATGGCCCTGAGTGTCGAGTAAAGGGCTAAATTCGAATCCATTCACGGTGTCTCTATCTGAGTGACAAAAATTCTCGAATAGGACGTAAAATAACAAACAACCAATCAATCTTTTCAGATAGATAACAATTTTGTCTTACCTTGAGGTAAAGTTGACAGAATGGAGATTGGGTGTTTGACTTTGTAACACCCGACTTGGCGAGGAGCTTGCACACTGGGTATTCCTCAGTCTTACATAAAGCCATTGAACGACAAGCACCGACCTCCAAACAACGGGCAGCGCAGGTTATTGCTGCAGTTTTGCAAGTTTTAGGTAGGGTTAGTTCTTGTAGGATTGATGAATTTTCATACGATAAGAAGGAAATTTTTTGAAACAAATTTTCTTTAAATATAGATGCAACTTGTGCTGCTGATAAAATTATCAAGAGCAGCAATCCGAAATGCATTTTTCTTCAACAAATTGGATCTAAATGTGAGATTGGATTCCCTTATCGAAAACGCATGATTAACGTCACAGAAATAATATAACAAAGGCGTATTCAGTAAATAATTACTTACTGTCGAGAGTGTGCTTGATTATTTATATATTGTACTTGGTTAATCCACCGAAAAGTAGGGATTTCTTTCTCTTTTTCTGGTTCAAGGATGAAAGAAATCATGCTGATGTAAAGTCAACAAACCTTAAAAGAAATTGCGTGAATATTCTCTATAACTGGATCAGTAATTATACTGTTGGCACATTTCTGTACGTGTAAAGCTTTGACTGTTTTTATCAACATCCACCCTAAGATGATGTATAAATGTAATGTGTCCAAAATAGATGAATTATAACTTTGAACATTTTTTGCGTATGAAACATGATTTAATTCTTTTTTACAGTAACAAATTAACCTATTTTCTTTTATAATAAATATATTGATTGGGACTGTCTAATCGCGAAAATTTTATTCTAGTATATATTTGTATGATTAAAGGATACAAATTCGAAGTAATGAATGAAAATTCATGTCTTCGACGAAGAAAAGAAATAATAAGGATTAAGGTGTTTTAGAAAAACAAATATAATTAATATACATGGACGCAAAATAGAAAAAGTGAAATCGCTTTCATATGTAATCGAGCATAGTTCTAACCCTATTGAAAAAGACAAAATAACAATCATTGCTATATCTGGAACATTTTTTTTTAATTTAAATAACAAGACAACTTTTTACCCGATAAATAATATAGAGACATTTTTACTTAGAAAGAAATCGAATGCTGAAGGTTTAATTAGACAAGGTATGTAGACAATGTACATGATGCAGCATGTTTTGTATGAAATGAATTGTGTTTAAAAACTAAAATAAAAAGGGGGATAATAAAGTTAAAATGGTGATAATTTGCTTGTTTAAAAATTGCTTTAATTCTAATTCAAAGTGTTCAGGTAGGCCAATAGAAGGTGACGAAATGAAATGAAGCCTTTTCACCAAAGTTCCTCATTTCTTTTTGGGTTTTCTTTTTGGGCCTCCCCGTGATACATGTATCCACCCCATCTTCAATTCCACACATAGAAGACCGGTGATTTGCCTACACAATTTAAAGTTGTGATATATTTATTGTATATATCGCGTGGACATGTAGAACGAAGCAACGGCAGTGCATTGGTAATTGATAAAACGCCTTGCTCGTTGCTTCTTAATGTCTAGTAGTTGAAAACCGCGGGATTTTTGGATGACACTTCGAAAAGCGAGGTCCCATGCTAAGACAGATATTGGTATGATAAAGAACCCTCACTGCTTAATGGTCCTGTTTGCCAATAATGGGCTTTTAAAACTCTAAGTGGAATTATTTTATCAAATGACAGCATTACATTACCAAAAAATGCCATGCAGATAAAACCATGTTTTGGTTGCATGCCTATCGGGATCTCAAGTTTAAAGATATTGATCAATGTTTTGTTTCAAAAATGGAGGATCTCGGAGCAAGACTAGTTTGTATTTTTTCTCTATTTTTCCTGATAATTGATCCATAAATATATAGGAGCAGAGAAAATACAATTCTGAATATATGTTCTTATTATTTACTCTCTTTTTATTGAATTACTGCAGGAGATAGAATCAAATTTTTTAAAACTAATTTTAGATATCTTTTGTTTATGATTTTATATACTTTGGTTTGTAGTAATAGACTAGTGAGTGTTTTACTATCCATGTATTAAGTTGTCAAATGTTTGCTGTGTATTCATGTACAAACATGGTGTTAAACAAAATAATTGAAATTAGTCACTATCTGATTGCATGCTCTCTGTTTGTGTTAACATTTAGCTACTTAGTACTAGTTTTGTAAACAGATTAAAAAAACAGTTACGTTATCTTTTGATTTTTAAAGTGCATGCTCCCAAAGCTGAGTTTTTACAATGAACATTTTCACGTTCAAAACTATGTGTCACAGAGAATCGTTACAGAACCTTAGAAGTGTCATCTGCTGTAAAACAATGCGGGCATAAATTATTCTGAAATACATTTCAATGCTAGCATTATGGTTCAGCAAAAATAAAAGCGATATGGAGTAGAAAAATATATCGTGAATAATAAATATCAAACAGAAATATCGAAAGAGAAATCAATATATGATATACTAGAAATAATTATCTATCAATGCATATTTAATGTTCAATATTCAACAACCCATCAGACAGATTCGTAACTTGAAAAAGTTCATCTTTGTTGAAAGAAATGAAAGTCGAGAAGTAAGTTTTAATGACAAAACCCAGGATGGTGTAGCAGATTACGAATTATTTTTTAATTAACTGGCCCCAAGATCATGAAACAAACTTAGACTTAAGTCAAATTTTCTATCACCTATAAAATATTCATTTAATTGAGGAATTTAATTAGAAATTTGCAGATAACATCTCTTTTGAGAAGCAATATTGAAAAATATTTTAATTGTGGTCTTCTCGACCTTTACAACATTTTATAATAAGATAAAGATTTTGACTTAAGCTTGAGATGTTTCATGATCCCGGAACCAGGTCAATGTATCTTAGCCCTGATGTTTAAACTTTGAATTCTCTCTAGGATCAATCCAGACGATGGAACAAATATGAAGAAGAAGTTGACAAGAATGGACTACTAGTACCAGATGGATGCTGAAATCTCGTGTCAGACTGTTGGGAGGGAATTAGAATACAACCATATCCCCAGTCTTGAGATAAATTAGAGATCTAACATGACCGATATCAACTGGTCACTGCTGACAAATGCGGTAACAACTTAAGTCTTTGTTTGTATGGTTCGTTTTAGCAACTAAAGGAACTTGGATTTGAATCTTCAAGTGTTAATGTTATTTATGCTCATAGTAAATTCCTTTTTTTACGGAGGACATTCTTGAAAAAGCAATATGCTACTATGTAAATCTCATTGAACTACTAATATTTCATTTCATTAATCAATATGTTGAATGATCTGCAATTATCATTGCAGTTGAAGGCGTTGCAAATAGGATTGTGGTGGATAGTTTGTTGTTCTTCAATGGTAAGTATTTGACAAATTGCCTTCTGGTAACTACTCAGCTATTATAAAATTGCAACAAACTATAATGAAAAATTACACACGCAAACAATGTATTTACAGTACTCTAGATATTTACACTAATTATCAGGCAACATGCCTGATACAACCAGGCATTGTTAATGAGTAAATACAATGTGTATTAGGCCGATGGCCAAATATGGTAGCCGATGGCTTGTATGTGTGGTGGGCTGCAGGCCCCCATGTATGTGAGGCCTATGGCCTAGTGACAGTGTAAGGCCGATGGCCATGAGTGAGTTAGGCCGATGGCCTTGCTTGCATGTAAATGGCCGATGGCCTTGAGACAATGAAATGTGGCCGATGGCCTGTGTGCGTGTGTAAAAGTGGATCTAACATGGATTTAAAATAAACAAAATTTCTTTTGGGGTTAAATAACACACTTGACCAAGTGTGAAATGCCCAAGCAGTTACCTATGATCAGATCAAGGTGGTGGTGGGGAGGAAGGTGGGTCTTTGAGATGTAACACTACAGTTGCAGGAACAAGACAAGATGCTAAGAATCTGATTGGCTTATAGAATCACGTGATAACAAGCATGTTGAAATATGATACAATCTACATGATTTTATATAAACAATATTTAATAAATTAAATAACATTTTATATAAAACCAACACAAATGACATTTACAAATTTATTCAAATTGCCTTCTGGTAACTACTCAGCTATTATAAAATTGCAACAAACTATAATGAAAAATTACACACGCAAACAATGTATTTACAGTACTCTAGATATTTACACTAATTATCAGGCAACATGCCTGATACAACCAGGCATTGTTAATGAGTAAATACAATGTGTATTAGGCCGATGGCCAAATATGGTAGCCGATGGCTTGTATGTGTGGTGGGCTGCAGGCCCCCATGTATGTGAGGCCGATGGCCTAGTGACAGTGTAAGGCCGATGGCCATGAGTGAGTTAGGCCGATGGCCTTGCTTGCATGTAAATGGCCGATGGCCTTGAGACAATGAAATGTGGCCGATGGCCTGTGTGCGTGTGTAAAAGTGGATCTAACATGGATTTAAAATAAACAAAATTTCTTTTGGGGTTAAATAACACACTTGACCAAGTGTGAAATGCCCAAATGAAGTTATTATAATGTCAATATAATAGCTGAGAGCCCCAAAAGGAATTATCTAACAACACCACTCTTGATCTGATACCAAAACTTTTAAAACTAATGAAAATAGATACAAAGCAAATCATCTTCTTGAATTCCAAATTAACCCGTATTGTGAACATGAGATAAAATAAAATGTAAGTTACATTTGCTTTTAAACTACTGTTCATTGTTTAACAATCCGCTCCAAGTTTTGAGAAAACAAACCAAATACACAACCTGATGTGAACATAAAATGTTAAATTGCATGCTTAACTGATCTATTATATTTACATACACAACTACACAACACAGTAGCTAGTCTTTTTACACACCTTTTTGACAACACATTGCCTTTTGTGCACGTGACAAAGTTTGATCATCGGAACGAATGTACCTGGTGTAACAGTCTGAGCTCCATCTACCTAAGGTTTTGATCAAGTGATCTTCAACTTGTCCACCGGCAGCAGAGGTAGCAGCTCCTATTCTGAAAGAGTGGCCATTGAAATTCTCATCATCCAAACCCAGCGATTTGAGTATCTGCTTTAGTTTCGTAATGAAAAATTGTCTTGATAATGGATTTCCAGTTTCATCCGTAAATAAGGCTGAAGACATGACACAGTTGTACCACTGTCTACGAAGGGTTAAATATTTTAACATGGATTTCACTGGACACACGGTTTGTTCTGACTGAAATAAACGGATTTGAATTCCTTTCCGAAAAGGGTCAGTTTTAGATCTTTTAAGCGTGATAGTGTAAGCTTTGTAGTTCCGATCCATGACGACATCTTCCACACACAATAGGTTGTCTTGATTTATATCGTTCACAGTAAATTCCCCACATCGAAGGAATGCGAAAAATGCTAGAGAACAAGCAGCTTGCAGCATGGTATCTAGGAAATAACCGAACATACCCCGCTGTAAGACATTTTGAATTTGGATCAAAACACTGTATGTAATGGGCCTCCTTTTCTGTTTAGAACTTTGTTGTTTTTGAATTCCCCTCAACACTGTTCGCAACCTCGCACACGCTTCATCTGATGATAGAGGATTAGAAATACCAGCCTTCACATAATGGAATCTCACAGCTGCAAGATACAATTTGATGGTATTGTATGTTAGTTTTAGGGAATTACAGCAATGAGTAACAAAGTAAATAAGGGTTTGTTCTGAGATCTTAGGTGGATTATAATTAGACGCTTCTATTCCAATCGATGAAAGGAACTGGCAATATACTGTAAATCCTGTTCTGTATGCCCTCCTTGTATTGTCGCTTATTGAAGATTCACATAAGTCCCTAGACTCTTTCTCTAATACAGGATTAAATCTTTCAAGGATGGTACTGGTACTGGCATTGCAGCTGCTGCTGGAGCTACTTCTCTGAATTTTGTCATCATTTATGCCCCCATATCACAGTGGCAACAACTATGGGATATAATTCTAACAATGCCATAGATAATGCGTCATCGCCGAGGTCTTAAATTTCTGGAGGCCATTTTCCTTGGAACCATTCTCCGTAATAGTAACCCCCGTAACCAATGGTAGAAGAAGCATCTGTATACAAGGATATGTCTGAGGCACAAGTCACATTTTCCTCCAGAAAGAACGAATGTCCATTCCACTGCTTTAGAAATGTTTCCCACATAGCCAAGTCCATTCTGCATTCTTTAGTTAAATTTACATGATGATGTAATTTAGTAACTGAATGGGCCAGAGTTAAAAGATAGGAAATAAATGATCTGCCTGCTGGAATAATTCGTGCAGCGAAATTGAAATGCCCTAATATGCTGAGTAGTTCTCTTTTTGTGCAGGAACGTTTTGACTTTAAATTGCCAATGAGAAAAAATATGCGCTCTATTTTTTCTGGTGGGATTCGTGCTTCCATTTTAACAGAGTCCAATATAATTCCCAAATATTCCATTTCTGTACATGGTCCTTTCGTTTTCTTCTCCGAAATAGGAATTCCTATATTACCAAACACCATTGTCAGTATTGCCATACTTCTGAATCCTTCCTCCTCTGTAGGATCCAATGTCAAGAAATCATCTAACAAATGTAACACCTGCTTGATTTTTTAGTTATTGGTTAAAATCCAACAGACGGCCTGTGAAAGCATATCAAATATTTTGGGGCTACTTCTGCACCCAAACACTAAGCGTTTATAAAAGTAATATTTGTTTCTCCATTTTATGCCATAAAAGGGTTGCACTGTTTTTGACAAAGGTAATAGCTTGAATGCGTCCACAATGTCAGTCTTGCACATCAATGAATTAACGCCTAATGATTTCAAAATACTTATGGCATCATCAATACGCACATACTGTAACGAGTAATCTTCCTTATCGATGAGGCTATTGATGCTAACTTCTGATGCCGAGTCATGAGGCGATGAGAGGTCTACTATCAATCTGTATTTCTTTGAGTATTTTCCTTCGGCAACGCCAATAGGGCTAATACGATAGACTTCAAACGGTGGTTCATCATATGGTCCATCTACATAACCTTTGTCAATTTCATACTTGAGTAAAGTGTCTACTACTTCAGGTTTCTTCCTAGCTGTACTTAAGTTTTTGCATTCAAATGAAGCCAAAGGCAGCTTAGAAATTCCTGTATCAAATCCATTCTCCAATCCATTAATGAAAGTATCTACAAAGTTTTTGTCTGGATGATGGTGCAATTCTGACTTAAATGCTTTGATGTTGATCGTAGTTAAAATTTCTTGTTTTTTTTAATCTGACGGTAGGGTAAATTCAGGTAGTCATTGCTTCTCACTTTGGTTGCCCTCATTTTGTTTCGTGGTTGTTTTACATTTGTTGTGTGGAAGTATGTTTTCCCATCTTACAAGTTGAACAAACATGTAACAAGTTACACGAGGGTCTGTTGCATCCTGCCTCGCTGTTAAAATTGTTACATATTTCTCTGCCCCTATGCGTGATTCTGGGCCTTCCTTGCACGTCCAGTTGGCTTTGTTGTCCTCTGTTTCTGTTCTGTCCTGGAAGTGAACTATTTGGAACTGCACTGAATTTTGCTCTTGGGCAGAAATGTGAAGTGTGTGTAGTACTGTTGCAATTCTCACATCTAATTACCGTCTGGCCAGCAAAAATAGTCGTAAACAGTTTCGTGTCCCTAATTGACCAGTCGACTCTGATATTTCTTTGATGAAGTAGGGCACTGGCTCTCGCTGAAAAGACCTTGTGATAATCGTAAAAAGCAGAACCACGTGTCATGGACGCCATCTCCACGATATCACGTTCGTATGCATCCAATTCTATCCTTCTTTCCGGATATACTTCACAAATTATGTTTTTGTATTTTGAAAATGCCAGTATAAACTCGCTAATGGATAAGTTTCTTTGTAATCTGGCATCAGTATTTTGTTTCAGTAAGATATAACGGCCTTCCGTTTCTTGAATTTTGTGTTCCTCATTTTCGCGAGGTAGAAGTAAGGCGGCAAGATTGACATCCTTACCTTGGATAATGTTGTTCCTGAGGGTTGTGGACACAGTCTCGACATACGGGACCGAATCCGATGGAACACGAGAGCCCGATGGTAAATTAACATGGTCCGGTTCCGATGTCGGTGTACTCTGGTTGGGATTTCGTTGTTGTAAATTGCTGACAACATTGGTAAGTGACAGAAGAGACTGTTGTATTGTATCAATTGCTTGGCTCAGCGAGTCTATTTTGGTTTCATTTATTGACTTCCGCCCAGCCTCGTTATGACTTGCTCTCTCCGAAGATGCCGGAAGTTCATGATCGTCTTCGCCATTTTGATTCTCACTAATGTCAATTGTTCTTTCGCCTGTCATCGAACTGCTAAGCTCTTTACGACTGTCTTGTACATTGTCTTTATAAATTTGAAGTAATTGAGATTTCTTTAAAGTAGCTGGCACTACTATATTTGCGTCTTTCAGTTTTTGTATTAAGTCTGATGACGACCAATTTTCGGGTATATTAGCGTCCCATCTAGATGTGCTTTGATTTTCACTGCGAGTACGCACATTCCTACCTGGAATATCACTTGTCTTTCTTTTCCTTCCCGTCATTTTAATTTCTATAGTCACAATAATAAGAGCCTCGGGCTAAAGTTCAAGTCATTCGACCATAACATGTAAACATTGAAACGAAACAAACACACGTGTATCCTGGGTCGGCAGTCACATACTGTAAATGCATTTACCACTTGTAAATAGTCCACATATTATGAATACACTACAAAAAATCCAAGTTGGCTAGGAGAAGAATATATTCCGAAGGAATCTAGAGAAAGTCTTTGAGATGTAACACTACAGTTGCAGGAACAAGACAAGATGCTAAGAATCTGATTGGCTTATAGAATCACGTGATAACAAGCATGTTGAAATATGATACAATCTACATGATTTTATATAAACAATATTTAATAAATTAAATAACATACTAATAATATCTGATTAACTTTTGAAATTATGGATATGTAGTAGTATTTTATGTGATACATATTCTCAATTTCTTGTTTAAGAGTTCAATTGCAGCCATATATTGTCCAGCATCTATTAATACGGTAGTAAATGTAAGAAGATGTCCGAGAACAAGTTTCGAATGGAAAAACGCATCAATTTATAAAAACTGTACAAGCGAGATACGAAGTTGTGTACGACAAACCGACTTTGTGTACCACTGTGTCATAAATACGTACCTCAACGCCACAGTCGAGGTTTGTGCATCCTCTACAAACATCTTAGGTAAGTTTTTGTTTGGTTTGTGTGTTTGTCTTTGTATAAGGTCTTCTATAGTTGTTTAATACCATTTCATGTATGATCATTAGGGAATACTTGGGCTGAGTACAACACTAAAGGAGCCAGGATCCAGGGAAATGTTGACGCAGTATGTACGTCCTGTCCTTTCAGATATCCATCTACAGATGCATACAAATGTACGTAAAACAAATTGTCTTTCAAATTATCTTTAATGTTCTCTTTCAATTTCTTTCTTTTTTTGGACAATCACTTGAATACTATGATTCAATAAAAATCAAAATAGCTATTTTTTGCCCATTTTTTTTAAGTGAAGTATATTTATCATTGTGTGTTAACATTTGAACATTTTCAGCTTTTTCTCTGCAACCACTCATCCAATTTCAACCAAAGCATATACGGATGAAGGGAAATAAAAAATGTGAATATCATGGTCCCTGCCCCCCCTAGGGGCCTGAGGGATGAGGTGAAAACCTCTAAAATTTATGCAATCTTTAAAAATCTTCTTTACCCCTGGACATCAGATGGACAAACTTTTGGCATGATTGTGATTAGAATTGAGTCCTCTACCAAATTGTGACCCAAGGGTCAGGGGTTCTACTGGTAGGGCGGGACTCTATTGATTATATGGTGAAAATGCATTATTTCTTTGAAAAACTTCTTCTCTACTCCTGGGCATTAAATAACTAACTAAGTACATAGTTATGTTGAATAAGACTGCCTCTTCCAAAATTGGCAAATTCATGGTCCCAGGGTCAGGGGTTCTAGTGCTAGAGTGGGGCTATATAGATTATGCTGTGACAGTGCAATATTTCTTTGAAAATCTTCCCCCTCCTGCGCATTAAATAAACTCACGAAGTATATAGTTATGCTGAATAAGGTTCCAAAATTATGAATTTCATTGGGTTCTGGTGTTAGGGCGGGGCTCAGTTGATGATATAGTAAAAATGCATAAATCTTTAAAATCTTCTCCTCTGCTCCTGGGTTTTAAACCAATGAACTACACGGAACGACTTTCCTTAGAAAAACGCGCTAAAATGCAATATCACCGAAGGCGACCTCAGTATATATGAGATCGTGCGAGCGATCGAAAAAATTAAAATACGACGTTTTTGGCCTTTTGACCCCCAGGTCGAATTCGACTGTTAAAAGTTAAGTAATTAAGGAGTCAATCCTTACGTTGCGGGTTCGAATCCCACTGTGGGACGTAGCGATCGGTCCTTCGGATGAGACCTTTGAACCGAGGTCCCGTGTCGCAGTAGGTGCTGGCACGAAAAAGATCCCTTACTGCTCAATGGCCCTAAGTGCCGAGTATGGGACAAATTTGTAGCTCTCCACCGGCAAAAGGTGGCGTCTTCATATGAGTGAAAAATTCTAGAGAGGGACGTTAAACAACATACAATCAATCATGACCTCGTTTGTTGAAAGAAAATTGTTTATTCATTGAAAAAAAACGACAAGAAATAATTGTCAACGAAGCATACCGTTAACGAGAAAATTCTAAAAATCAACAAAATTGCTGCATAAATCATATGCACTTTCTCAATCGATAAAATTTTTAAAAACTTAAATTGGACCGTGGATTTTTACCGTTTCAATTTAAATATGTAAAAATAGTAACTAAACACTTACATACATGTAGTCGACATTTGCGCAGCAACATACATCCTTGGAATATTTATACCTTTTTTGGATAGACTTTACTTTACCGGTCTTCAGGCCTGGGGGCCATAACAGTGAGATGAGCTCACTGTCGATCTCAGTCTTACTTTAACCAAAGAAATATATAATGGAAAAGTGAGACCGAGATCAAAAGTGAGCTCGTTTCACTTTTATGGCCCCTGGGCCAGATCCGCAAGATCCTCGCGCTCAGGCGTCTATGACGTAATATTTACGTGACTCAACAAAGAAGGGTTAGTCTTGCATACTTTTTGAGTGATAAGGGTTAGTCTTGTACCCACCTGAGAGATTAGGGTTAGTCCTTGCACAAGTATTCGACTGATAAGGATTAGTCTCGCATCCATCCGAGAGATTAGGGTTAGTCCTTGCACATTATTTGATTGATTAGTGTTAGTAGAACATCTGCCAGTAAGATTTCGTCTAAACGTCTTAGTCCTTGCATACCATCCGCGAGATTAGGGCTAGTGACCCGTTCTTTTGGATACATTAAGAAATTTAGTTTCTTCTGTAATTTTTGCAAGGTCATAATCCAGCTTCAACGCCATTTCGTTGGTTTATTTACATGAAATAATGATAGTCCGAAAGAATTGACTCTTAGAATACGCCTTATTGACAATTTTATCTTGTCGATTTTTTATGCCCCCGTAAACAAAGTTTCGGGGGTATATAGTTTTTGTCGTGTCCGTCCGTCTGTCTGTCTCTCTGTTTGTCTGCAAAAGCTTTAACCTTTCTCATAACTTTTAATTTAGTGGAGCTATGACTTTCATATTTCACATATGTATTCCTTGTGACAAGACCTTTCTTTGGGTACCACCAAATTTGACCTTTTGACATTGACCTTGGACTTTGACCCACTTTTACACAAAAATTCCAAACATTTACTTTGGCCATATCTTTTGAACAGTAGATACCAGGACAATTATACTTCACGTATATATTTTTTATGGAAAGACCTTTTATTGGATACCACCAACCTTGACCTTTTGACCTTGGAGATTTCCGTACTTATGAGAAAACTTTAACCTTGGCCATAACTTTTGAACGGTAAGGGATAGAGCTTTCATACTTCACATATGTAATACTTGTGAGAAGACCCTTCATTGGATACCATGAACTTTGACCCTTTGACCTTGACCTTGGAGTTCTACCTACTTTAAAAAAGCAAAGCTTGACAAGAATTTTAAAAGGGTTAGGGCTAGTGCTTTCATACTTTACATATTTAATGCTTGTGACAAGCCCTTTCATTTGATAGGAAGACCTTTGACCTTATGACCTTGACCTTGGAGTTTGACTTACTTATTAATTTTTTAACCTTGGCCATAACTTCTGAACGTTAAGAACTTGGGCTTCCATACTTTACATACGTAATCCTTGTGATAAGACTTTTCATTAGATACCAATTACCTTGACCTTTTGACCTTGACCTTGGAGATTTTCATACTTATGAAAAAACTTAAACCTTGGCCATAACTTTTGAACGCTAAGGGCTAGTGATCTCATACTACACATATGTAATCCTTGTGAAAAGACCCTTCATTGGATACCAATATTTCCAAACTGATGAAAACTTTTTTACCCTGGCCTTATTTTCTATTTCAGAGCTGTATTTCCAGTGAGTTTGCATTTAAGAAAAGTTAATCTTCGCTAATTTGTTGCCATACGGGGGCATCAGTGTTTCACAAACACATCTTGTTCAATGAATAAACAGTATTTTCGTTTCAAAAATTGTAAACTAACTTTTAACCCTAGAATTCGATTTTGTGATCATTTTTTTTTCCATCGATCACGTGAACTCATATATGCTGTATTTTGCTGAGGTCCAGTTAAGTAAAGTCGTTCCAAATTTTAAAATATATGGCCCCAAAGTTGAAAAGGTCAAAAGTTCGATCGATCGTATTTTAATTTTTTTTTTTCGATCGCTCACACGATCTCATATAACTGAAGTAGCCTTCGGCGATAGTACATTTTAGCGCGTTTTTCTGAGGACCGGTAAAGTCGTTCCAAAGTAAGCATACTAAATGTACAGTTATGATAAGCAATGGTGTCTCTTTTAAATTTGTGAATGTTGTGGCCTCTAGTTTAAAACACAAACCAAATTCAATTTTTGGAAAGTTGTTACATGATACTTGGGTGACCTAGAAGGCCCATGGACCTCCTGTTATTAATGAGGTTATTAGCAAGAGTGATTGATTTAATTACATGAAGCGCTTTTTTAAATATTGTATAATAAAAATATAATGATAATAATGTAACAGACGTGTATGATGGTGATGTCAGATAAACAACAAGGCTGTTGGGTCAAGCTGAGTTATAGATTTCTAAAAAATAAGTAAGATTTTCTCTTTATTTTGTAGTTCAGGTTTGGATATGAACAAGACAATCTCTTTATTACGATGGAATACGAAAAAAAAAAACCTATAATGAAATAACAAATCATATTATTTTTCTCATCTATTCCAAGCTCTCTGATTGGCTCAAACTTGATCACATGATAAAGTATATAACAGCATATAGACTTGAGTTATTATTTATAGATTTTGAAAGGCATAGCGACTTAATGCTTACAAAATTTGAAATAATTTTCTGTAAAACAACAATAGCGTTGAATTCAAAACAGCTAACATTGTGTATGACTTGATTTTTTTTCAAGAGAAAAATTACACTTCAACTCCTATTCATAATTGTGATGTTCTGTTATAAAAAGTAAAACTTTAAGACTGAAGTCATCAGTCATTTGGATCATGTAAAAAGCACGTGTCATCATTACTTCCGATTGAGACAGTGACTGAGAAACTACAGATCAAAAAATATTAAATTAATCTGCTTATTGTGTATTTTCTTTGTACCAATAGAGTAATTTGGGGATTTCAAAAATCAATACAAAACTTAATAAGACAAATGTAATCTTTTTGAAAAAGGAAATCCCCAAATTACTCTATCGTCTTGTCAATGTAGATAGTTATAGGAATATCTCAATATCTACAAATCAACAATAAAACCTTGTAGATATCTAAACTAATCATAAAATAAAGTTTACTTTGAAAATATGAAAAAGTGAGACATAAATGTATTTACTATATTTACACATTACTCAATATCTATAATCTCTCTCTCAATATACATTTACTCCAAAAAAGTTATTTATGAAATCAAGTGCATAAATTACAGATATCACATTTAATAAAATTATAATCATATCACTCATTAGTTTGAAAGAATTACTTACCATGCAAGTAGAAAGGTAGGTCTAAAAGTCAAACGTCTGATTTATAAAACTGACAAAATTACACTTTTATCACCTTACACAA